GCCCTGTTTGTCTCCAAATGATCCTGTCCCTTGACAATTTTTTAAAAAGATTTTGCCTCGCACAGACTGTTCTTACTATTATAAACAGCCGTTTAATGTCTGGTGTAGTCCCTGCTTATTTTAAGCAGGAAGTAGTACAACCCCTTCTTAAGAAACCCGCCCTGGACCACACTGTATTGACTAACCACAGGCCTATCTCCAAGCTGACTTTACTGTCTAAAATCTTAGAGAAAATTGTACATTCCCAATTGATTGATTTAAGAAAAAATGAGAATAGTATCCTGAGTCAGCACTCTTAAAGGTTTTTAATGATATCTTCCCTACCTGTGATTCTGGTAATCATGTTGTTCTTGTCCTCCTTGACCTAACAGCTGCTTTTGACTCTGTAGACCACAACATTTTACTGTCTCGTTTACACCGTCTTGCAGGCATTCGTGGTACTACTTTGAATGGGTTTAGGTCTTATCTTTCTGATCAAACTTAGTGTTAACTTTTTAGGGTATGAGTCCTTTTCTGCGGCTCTTCAGTTTGGGGTCCCGCAGGGCTCAATTCTAGAGCCTCTGCTTTTTTCATCATATTTACAGCCCTTGGGAACCATCCTTAAAAAGCATGGAATTTCCTTCCACTGTTATGCTGATAACTGCCAGATTTATCTGCCTCTGAAGCAGAAAGATGCCTTCTCTATTAAACTACTTTTGGTATGTCTAGAAGATATTAAAACTTGGATGGCCCTAAACTTTTAAAAATGTAATTCAAGAAAAATCGAGGAGATTGTGTTTGGTCCTTGTGGACCTAGTGATCCCTCCGCTATTGATTTGGGACCCCCGGCATTTTAAACTTGTTGTTACTAATTTGGGTTTTAAGATGGACAGTGATTTTAAATTGGACACTCAATTTAGAGCTACAGTCAAGTCCAGTTTTTATCATTTAAGGCGCTTGGCAAAGGTAAGACCTATTTTATCCAGGCCACATTTTGAAACAGTAAGCCATGCTTTTATTTCATCTCATTTGGATTACTGTAATGCACTGTATTTTGTAGTAAGTCTGTTTCTTCTCTTTCGTCTGCAGCTGGTTCAAAATGCTGCTGCACGACTTTTAACCCAGAATTTGCAAAAGAGAGCACATAACTCCCATTCTGGCTTCACTCCATTGGCTGGCTGCCTTTAATCTAATGTGCTGATTTATAATTTTAATTTAATTCTAATTAGTATTTTATATTTCTTAAGTTATTCAGTGTATTGTTTCTTAGGCATGTCAAGTGTACGGCACTTTGTTTTCAGCTGGGAGTTGTCTGAAAGTGCCTTATAAATAAATTGCTTGCTTATAGAACAATAAAGTGTTGTTAAATTGTTTGCTGACAACAGGAAAAACTTAGCTCTGTGAACCTGACTGGCTCTCTGGCGGCTGGTCCCTCTGACTTCTCCCCTCCTGCCGCACATGAACCAGCTGACTGACCATATGACTCATTTTCTCATTCATGAAGCCAGAGCAGACAGAAACATAAGAGCAGACATTGTAGCTATATCTTATTCAGTATTTGATTAAAATTACTTTTTTCTCCCCTCCTGTTTCTACGGTAAATATCATGTCAGCACTGATGCATCTTCATATTCCAGCTCCTCTGGATTAAATGGAAGCTCTACTCTTCATTTACCCGTTGCCACACATTGCTATGGTGAATTCTGATACCAGGGCCCTGTTTCAGGAAGCCGGTTTAGAAAACTCAGAGTGAAAAACGATACGCAGGGTTGAGTAACCCCGAACTGTCCAACTCGGAATATTCGGTTTCAGAAAGGCTGATAACAATTAGTTCAGTCAACGCGGAGTTGCTTTAACCCCAAGTGAAGCGCGCGGACGAGGATACATAAAGCCCTGATAAGCGGAGCACAGATTAAGCGAGTCACCATGGAGACGGAGGGAAAGAAGGCGCGGTCAATGTATGTCACAGCGCTTGAGGCCGAAATTCTGATGGCAGCAAAAAAGTAACGCAGCCACAGCTGCAAAAGAAAGGGAGCATGCATGGCAAAACATAGCCGACAGAGTCAATGCGTGAGTGTTAATATAAACATTGATCTAGGGATCTCCACCCATTTAACACGTTATTTTATCATATGTTATTTTATTTGTTATTTTATACATTTTATTTTGTGATGTGATGTGAGCGCAGGTGCAACCCAACAGGCCCCAAACGTTCCTGGCAGCAAGTAAAAATGAAATATAAAAATATAGTCCAAACAGGTAAGGTGTAATTGTATTATGAGCCATAGTGCTTGGTCAGTTTGTCCGATGTAAATCAATTGCAGTTAGAGGCTACATTAATTTCCTTTCTGTAAGCACTCATTGAAATTATCTGAGCACATTACAAGTACATATTTGCTTACTCTGTATGCTCAAATGTGACCCGTTATAGCCAACAGAAAAAAAGCGGAGGCCCGAAAAACAGGTGGGGGTCCTCCACCACCACCACTCACAGAGGCTGAGCAGTTGGCCCTCAGCCAAAACAGTGGGCGCCCTGTGGCCGAAGGCATCTCTGCGGGGACATCCTCTGAGTCAATAACCCTGCAAGACACAAGTGCCTACATAGGGGGTAAATTCAAAATAATACATGATGTGCATACATCCTTTCTTCACAGTCACCTTTGCAGTGCTGCTCATTCATTTGATAAACTCTTTACCATAATGGATTATTTTGTAGTGAAGTAATTTTCCGACTGATTTTGCCTTCCCTCAGTCTTGGTTGTCTTTGAGAGCATAATGACAATGAAGTGTAAGGTGCTTGGTATGTTTGTTAATTGCCATTTGGTCCCTTGTAAGTTTAAGTGACCTGTATAAACCTCATATTCTATCAGTTGATGGTGATGGTGTACTGCATCTGGTGCAGCCTCCTGTTGAGCCAGACCAACATGCAGTTGTGAGTAATACTCCACAGATTAGATGAGTTTACAGTAGAACAGCAATGTTGTCTATTTCTTTACTACAGGAAAATAATGAAGAAACATTGACAGCTGTTACAGAGGAGGAAGCAACAGAGACACTTTATGAGGTTTACATCTTTTAATACTTTGTGTACAGGAAATACAGGCGACCAATAAAGCCAGTTGAACAAAAAATCTGTTTATTCTTCTTTCAACATGTTGAGGTGATGGGTCAAAAGAAATTATTGTGACATATGGTGTCTCTGACTGCGTTTCCATCTTGTATGTCCGTGGGAGGGTCAGGATGTTCATGGTTTGGATCACTGCTGATGTTTGGTTCAGAAGGACAGTGTTCTCCTCTAATTGTGGCAATGTTGTGAAGAATCACACATGCCACAATAATGTCACATGCCCTTTCTGGGGTGACCCTGAGTCTTTGCAGGCACTGGAACCGGGCCTTAAGCATTCCGATAGTCATTTCAATTCTGGCTCTTGTCCTGCAATTAGCCAGATTATATCGCTGCTGTGGGCCCGGTTCAGGGTCAGAGTAAGGGGTAAGCAAATAGGGTAAACATGGATACCCCCTATCACCAAGCAAGTAGCCAGTGAACTCTCCTAAGACAGAAGGATACACTTCAGTTCAAATGTCCCTGAAGCAATTGGTCTTTATATATTTTAAAGTATTTTCAACTCACCATGTCCAAATTTTGTGCTCAGTGTACATTCACGGAATATTTGTGAGTCATGGACAGAGCCTGGCCACTTGGCTTCCACATTTGTGATAATGTTGGCAGCATCACATATGATCTTCACAGTGCAGAGAACACGAATTAGCATCCATTACTATAATGAAATAATTTGTTAGTTTGAAATGCTACAGGGAACTATGTACCTGTACATTAATGCTGTGGAAAGACTTCCTGTTCACATAGTCTCCTTCATTTACTGAAGGAGCAATGATTGGAATGTGAGTGCCATCTATACACGCCTGGGAACCCTGAAAATAAATGTAAAATTTAAGTAGTAGTCCAAGTATCACCACATCATACATTACGTTTTGGTCACCCTGATACCTGCAATTTTGTGGCATCCCTCTTTGATAAATCTTGTGGGTCTATGACCGGGGAACACCACAAACGAGTACAGGAGACGTTTCAGTGCAACTGTAACATTCCTGACTGCCCGACAGACGGTAGCCTTGGAAGCGTGCTCAGCGTCATCAATATTATACAGAAAGCTCCCGTTTGCAAAAAACCGAAGTGCAATACAAATAATATGTACAGAACTGAGAGCATGTCCGCGATGTGTCACATGCGTAATATATGGCCTGAGGATGTTATCCAAATAAATTATAGATTGTGCTGAAAAACGGTAACATTCGCACAGAAAATCATCAGGAAATGATAAGATGTCCAAACGCGCTCTGATCACTTTCTCCCGGCGGAGAGCTCTGCGGAGAATTTGGGCTTCACGATCTACTGGCTCTTCAAGGAAGGAGCACGCCATGTCCGACACTTCCTACTGTCAGGTTTCCGACAAAGGGGCGGAGACAGTCAGGGTTAGTTGTAGTAAACCTGCTAGGGGGCAGGTTAGCTTCACGGCGTGTGTCGTCATAGTGACTCACTCAGGCTTCATCTGAACTCGCTTTGTGAAACCGAAAAACCAGTTTTCGTTAACTCAGGGTATACTTACTCAGTTTTTCCACTAAACCGGCTTCCTGAAATAGGGCCCAGGATTCACCATGGCAGGAAAATCTAAGTACAGAGAAAACCTATCCGTTTTTCTCAATATGTAAGTTGTGTAAAAAGATAAACTTACAGGAAATTTAACAGAATGTATTAAACTGAAAGACTAGAAGTTCATTTTCAATAAAAGCAACTCATTTATCAACATCCACTAATGACATAATTGCATCATCTCTGGAAAATATGTGAAGTTGTGCATCTTTGGTTGTTTGGAACTCAGGAGACACCACATGATCTGTAAAGCATGCCAACTATCACATCAGGAGGAAAACCAGCCAATCAGGCAACAGCAGCCTCTTACATGCGTTTATAGTAAACAAACTCGGTGTGTGTGTTTCAGGTGATGTGGGTGTGCAATGTGTGCAGGAAGCAGCAGGAGTTTCTCACTCGGTCAGGGGACTTTTCCCCTGAAATGCTATCCATCAATTACAGCTTACACAGGGCTCCCCACCCACCTACACATGGGCCACTGGGTGCCACGGGGCCCTTGAGTAATGGTGCAGCAGAATGGTGGGTATTATTCATTGTTTATATTATTTATCATTTTTTTGTTCCTGAGGCCATTTAACTGTCAGCTGTGCCTGCATGCTTCTCATTTAAATTTAAACTTTTAATTAGTGAGATTGTTTTTAATTAGAGAGTGACCTCCATCTCTCTCTCTCTCTCTCTCTCACACACACACACACACACACACACACACACACACACACACACACACACACACACACACACACACACACACACACACACCCTGTAATCAAATTAACAGATTAATAATCTGGTACCTTGCAGAGGATTACTGCTGGTGCTAAATACAGCATGCAGGCTAACAGCAGTGATGTCATTTCCTGTATTGCTGGGATTGGAGAGGGGGAGGGCCTTCCGGTGTGATCCATGTCAGTCATAAACTTGCTGAGCGTGTCAAGGTGTTGGTCAATATGAAGCTTCAAACCTCCTAGGAGAGCTGTAAAAACTTTAATTAAATGTGTATGTGGTTGCACTCAGACTGACTGCATGTAAGTACACATCTCAGCTTCTTTATGCTGTTGTTGTCTGTTTATGTCTGTTGATACAGACTCAAACTTTGTTGATCAGAAATCGGATTCACTTTCACCGTTAGTAGGTTTAACCAGTGCTTTGATATTTTGATGCTTGTGAACACTGCATGTTGTCTGGAGCTGCTGGAGAAAAGTTTAAATGTTTCTATGCTGCATCGATGTCTGCTGCTGGTTCTGGTTTTGGTAACAGAATTTAACTCAGACAGAGTTGAGATTTTATGGCCGTAAACATAGAACAGGAGTCAAAATGTAGTTTTCCTTAAACAATGAGTTTATTATTACAGTGAAGACCTTTTAAAAAAGTTGACAGTACAGGTGAAAAAGCCTTGAAACAGGTCGATAAAAAGGAAGTCTGAACAGGAAGAACTTCATATACTGCTACTAGTAGTAATACTATTAACAATAGACTCCTCAGTTCTTGAAGCTTTGGTTCTGTGTAGAGTGTGGGTATATATGTATCAGCTGGCTGACAATCTGCTCCTCCTCCACTCTCACTGGATCACACTCTGTGACTGACAGGAGGCAGAGCCCCTCGGGATTGTACTATAATGGCAGGAGGAGCAGGATGCCTAGCTCACCATCGGACCTTGCTGTGAACAACCGTTCTCGATCGCCACACTGCTGTCATGGTTACGGAGAGGAAGAGCTACAGGCACACAGGCAACCAATAAGAGATGGGCGAGGTCGCTGGTACTCACAGGTGAGTCTGACAGGTGAAATTCATTTATTTGCTCACATTTCTTGTAAATTATTTGATCTGATGCGGGAAGCTGTTTAATAATTTATTTTCGTTAGAAATGAAAGATGAAATGCAACAAAGAAAATGGAGTAGTTGTTGCACAGGTGGTTGACCAGGTCTGCTAGTGTAAAGGTTGAACTGCGTTCCAAATAACTTTTGGGAAAGTTGCTCTCCAGTGCATCCATCAGAGTGTGAATGTGTGTGAATATTAGATAGAAAGCACTGCATAGTATTAAAAAAGTGCTTCTATGAATGGGAGAATGAGGCATGTTGAGGCATATAGCGCTTTTCATTCTGTTTGAGGACTTTATACAACATGCCACTGACACCCATTCATTAAATTCATTCATACGATTGTCTTTGTTACATGGACTGGTTGTCATATAGCATTTTTCTGCACTCCCCGAGTACACAACGTGCTATAAAAGAACCATTCTGTTTGCCAAAAGCAATTAATTAAATGTTTTAACTATTTTTCACTAGTTTAATAGTTTTTTCTTAATGATTTAATTAATTTCATTTATTGATGGTTAAGTCGTGCTATGAATGACAGTTGAGCTGTGATAAACATAGCAGGCTTCAGGGCTTACCAAACTGATGATGATGATAATGTTCACCTTTCTCACCTCGTGGCTCAGGATCACCCTCTAGACCAACGTCAGGATGAGCTTGAGCTGCGGCGACAACAGGAAGTGGAGTTTCAGGCACGGTACCGTAGTGACCCAAACCTTGCCCGATACCCAGTGAAGACACAACCAAGTGAAGAAACCATGAGGATGTTAGCTCAGGTAGGCAGGGTCCGCCACCAGCGCCGCCACAGTGATGTTTCCCTGGCAACCCCAGAGCCTGACCACCTGACCATGAGGCATTCAGGTAAGGGCATGTCCGCCCATCTACTCACATCTTATTTTGTCTCTGTCAGTGCGCCCCAGGGCAGCTGTGGCTACAATGTAGCTTGCCATCACCAGTGTGTGAATGTGTGTGTGAATGGGTGAATGACTGAATGTAGTGTAAAGCGCTTTGGGGTCCTTAGGGACTAAGTAAAGCGCTATACAAATGCAGGCCATTTACCATTTATTAGCAGGCTGTGATCGGTTTTACTCGTTTCATTCTCAGCTCTTCGTCAGAATCTGCCTCTGGGATTGGTCAAATCTGGAGGTCAGAGGTCATACTCTGTGGACCGTGCAACCACTCACATAAGCCCAACATATTCCCGTCACAGCCCATTATCACAACAACTACTGGACCCAAGCTCAACCCTGAAGAGGAAGCCAGCCACTGAGAATGTAGCACAGAGGAGTCGGCATGTAGGGAAGATGCATGTGATTGGCAGCTTTAGCAGCTCAGAGGAGGATCTTGTTACCACACCTGAGTACACTAGCGCTGATGAGCCTGACAGTAAGTGGCTACATGCTAACAGCCAGTCAATCATTTTTCTTACATGTGTGCACATTGCTTGAGAGTTGTTTGTCGCGCTGGATATGATACAGCCACTGGTCACGAGAGAGAAAAGTGTATTCTCTGACCCGTGATCAAGTGGTTATTTTTTTTATTCAAAATATTTTTATTGAGTATTTGTGGATATAGTTTACAAAGAAAAAAAGAAGACGGAAAACACAAGCTGTTTACAATGAATACTAAACAGAACTTCTCATGTTGGAACATTGTTTTCCTCTCGACGTGAAAAAAGAAAAAAAAAACTAAAAGAGGGAAAAAACCACACAGAAGTTAGCTATACCACCACTACAGCTACATTACAGCTTTGCCTGATAGTTGCAAATTAAGGAGCTTGTCCAGTAAATTAGCAGCTGGAGCTTCTGGAAAATTGGAGAGGTGGGATTGCAAAAAATTTCTGAGTTGTAAGTATCTAAAAAAGTGAGTTTTGGGAGGACTGTATTTTCCTGCCAGCTGATCAAATGATGCTAGTTTATTATATATAAAGAGATCTTTAAAGAAAATAATACCTGCTCTAAACCAGACCTGGAACAAGTTGTCCAAAGTTGGGGGGAGGAATAGGTGGTTTGAAAGGATGGGGCTTTGAAGTGAAAAATGATTAAGATTGAAATGTCTCCTTAACTGTGCCCACACCCTGAGGGAGTGCCGAATTATCGGATTAGATGTAAAGTTGTCAATGGATAAAGAAAGAGAAGAACCCAGAAAGGAGGCAAGAGAAATACCCTGAGTTGAGTCTAATTCCATTGCCAGCCAGCTGGTGGGGCCCACACCCTCCCCAGACTGTAACCAGTAGGTCAGGGACCGAATATTGGCAGCCCAATAGTAAAAGCGGAAGTTGGGGAGTGCCAGACCCCCTTCAATCTTAGGTTTCTGTAAATGCATCTTAGCTACTCGAGATCGTTTACCCTTCCAAATATAAGAGGAGATTATAGAATCTAGAGTTATAAAGAAAGACTTGGGGATGAAGACTGGTAAAGATAAGTATGAGAATTTAGGAAGGATATTAATTTTAATTGAATTAATTCATCCGACCAGAGTTGTGTTCAGGGGTGACCACTGTTGAAGGCTTTGTTTGACATTCTTCAATAGTGTAAAAATGTTGGCTTTAAGAAGTTGTTTATACTTTCTTGTAATTGTAATACCCAGGTAGGTGAACTGCTCTTTGATGGGGAAACCCAACAAACCTATTGGAAACGCTTCTTCATTTAGTAGACAAAGTTTGCTCTTGGACAGATTTAATTTATAACCAGAGACCTGACTGAAACACGTGAGTAGTGACAATATAGACGGTAGGGAAGTATTTGGATTTGAAATAAAAAGCAATAAATCGTCAGCATAGAGAGAGACTTTGTGTTCAGTTTGACCTCTTTGTATACTCTGGACAAGTTTACTGCTTCGAAAAAACATTGCTAAGGGTTCAATAGCTAGATCAAATAACAACTGGCTAAGGGGGCAACCCTGACGTGTGCCTCGTTTAAGTTAGAATGGTTTTTATTTCTGGCTATTAGTGCAAACAGACGCAACAGGGGACAAGTATAGGTACATGATCCATGAGATGAAGTTGGGACCCAACCCAAATCTTTCCAGCACAGCAAATAGATAGTTCCATTCTACACGGTCAAATGCTTTTTCCGCATCAAGGGAAAGAACACATTCTGGAGTGTCCTTGGACGGCGTGTGCAGGATATTAAGAAGGCGTCGGATGTTGAAAAAGGGGTGGCGCCCTTTAACAAAGCCAGACTGATCTTCAGATATGACTGCTGGCAGGACCCTTTCCAACCTGTGGGCCAGCGCTTTAGCTCGGATCTTAAAGTCCACATCAAAAGCGAAATTGGCCTGTATGACGCACAGTTTGCCCTGTGTGAATGCTTCAGATAGAACCGAGTGGAGTAGAGGTACGAGCTGTGGGGCAAATGATTTGAAAAATTCTACCAAAAAGCCGTCTGGGCCAGGGGACTTCCCTGACTGTAGAGAGAAAATTGCAGCGCTAATCTCTTCTTTGGAAAATGGCGCATCCAAGATCTCTCTGTGGGTCAGGAAAGTCCAAGCTTTTAAGAAAATTTGTGATTAGTGAGTGGTTGGTGGGAGATTCAGAGGAATAAAGCTTCATATAATATTCCCTGAATGTGTCATTGATTTTGGCATGATCAGTAACGAGCACGTCATCTGAGTTAATGGCAGTTATACACTGACGTGGCTTTACACCCATTATTTGGTCAGCTAGGAGTTTGCCTGATTTCTCTCCATGCACAAAAAAATGTACTCCTACTCTTTAATAGTTGCCTCTCCACAGCATGAGTTGAAAGAAGTTCAAATTTGGTTTGGAGTTCAGTACGTTTCTTGAAGATCTCAGAGTCCTTATTGTGTGCATAGTGATGGACTAAGTCTTTTGTTTTATCGGCTAATTCTTGCCCTTCTTTTAAGTTTACCCTCTTCATATTAGCTGTGTATGAAATAATCTGTCCTCGGAGATAGGCCTTCATTGAATCCCAAACTAAAAGGCTAGAAATATTTGGGGAAAGGTGTGATGGATGTTAGAGAAAAAAGAGTACTCCCTGTCAGTTGGATGCAGATGTCACCAGATATCCCTAATCCCAAGTAGAAAGAAAGGAATGAATGTGTGAAGACACTTTTTATCCATAATAGCAAATGAACTGTACAACAGAAAATACAAATGCTATTTATGGTCTCCTCACAACACTGATAAGAAAAATAAACTGGGCCAATATGGCATGTCTGTTAATACAGAGATACACATGTTAATATGATCTCTGGTCTCCCACTCAGAGACACAGGTCTCAGAGTGTCCAGCATTCAGACGGCTACCTGAGGACACTCATGTGAGAGAAAATCTGCTCACACAGATATGTAGAGCAAAATACTGTCAATAAGGCCTCTGCAATGTTCAAGACAGTTAAACTTGTCAGGTAGTGATGTCCAGCAGGTGAAAATGCAGCTCCATGAACACACAGCTATGGATTCCAGCTGTTTGTTGCATTAACTGGCATTAACTGAGCCAGTTAATGCGAGACAAATCTAGCTGCTCATTATAGATTTCTGGTTTGTTCAGAAAATAAAACATTGGTCATAAACCATTCATAAACCTGAAAGTCCCAAAAATGCATTGTCTCGAGTCTACGGATGTATCCGTGTATCTCTGTGGTGCTGATGCTGTGCTGAGCGGAAAGCTCCTGAAGCTTTTGAAGTGTTGGAATGTGGAAAGCTAACAATGTCCCTCTCACCAGTAGGCTAAGTTATTTTTAGCCAATTACAAGTTGAATCTGGTAGTTTGGGTTGTTAGCTAAGATACCGTCATTAAGAAGAGACACAACTAATGTGTCTATGCAAGCTGATTTGCGATGTGCACCGCTGGCGCAGCCATTTATTTTTTTGATGCACCTTCTCAGATTAATTCACTGCGTGTCGTGCACAGGGCTGGACTGGGACAAAAAAAAACCCAGCCTGGGCATTTTGACTAAAGACCGGCCCACCAGGTATTAAAGCCATAAAGCCTTTGAATGAAAACAAACGCTGTTGTGACAGTGATGTACAGTCTTGTTGGTATATGTATGATTTCTATACATTTTACGTCAGATAAAAACTTTGGTTGTAAGCTTCAGATAATTATTTAATAACAGCCAGACATTTTAAATGAGAATAAGAAAGTATTTCTTTGTGCCCCCCTCTCCCTGTTAATGCCCTACCTGGCCCCCCTGGCAAAACTTTGCTAGATCCACCCCTGCACAGTTACCAGCTGTCAGCTACTTAGAAAATGATATTGGTGTTATTTGTCTCTCAGAAACAGTTCATAACTTCCCTTCAACCCATTCATGTCACCTAAAAGGTAAACCTGTTTCTCCATCACGTGTTCAGCTCTGATGATTCAGTAAGGACATCTCCTGGTTTCATCTTCATGTTTCCCTCTCACCAGATATACAAACCGATATCATGACCAGCAGGTTTTACAGCTGTGGCTCCAGCAAACCTCAGCTGATAGTAGAAATTGATATTAAATAAATTCTAACAACATCTGATCAAGCTTAAACGTGCTGCTGTTGTTTAGCGCGACATCCGCTGGTTTCCGCTTTCTGGCATAAAGTGGGCAATAAACAAACAAGAGAGAAAAGCCAATCAGCTGATCATTGATCAGTTTCATGATTAAAGTAGCAACAGGAGAGGGAGGGGGAGAGAATGAGAGAAGAAGAGGCAGCTGTGCAGCGTAAAGACAGAATAACTCCACCTTTGTGTCTTTTTCCATCCTAGACAAACTGCGTCCCTTCTCAGCTCAACACGAAACACGTAATAATTTCTCTGAATGCGGGACGATTCCGTCTTTTTACGGGACGGTTGGCAACTCTACTAACTAACCTTATGAATAAAATAAAGTTCACTATCAGTAACATCATAGCACCGACCCAGCTGTATAGAAACTCCGTCATGCTAGCTAGTTATTGTAACTGACTGTAAAAAGTCAGCACAACGAAAATAAACTCCACCTAAACTTGGTTTATATCTGACCCAGATAGACTGCAGGTCATAACTTCTTACCTGAAGTTCAGTTCACCTGACACTCGGACCAGCAGCCGCCTCGGGTCTCTGCTCTTCCTGCCTCCCCTTCCCTCATCCACCTGCTGGCCTCCACCACTTGTTAATTTTACTGAATCTGTGGAAGCTCCACCATAGCCACCACCAAACAACTGAGTTATTTTTACACACCGGCCAGCATCTGTCCAATCCACCACCTTTCATTGTTTATACCGTTACAAAAAAAAAAAATCATTGGCCCATCGAGCAAATGCCCGGTATGCCCGATGGCCAGTCCAGCTATGGTTGTGCCATCAGTTAACCCTTCGCGTGCCAACTGTGGCACGCGTGCCTAGGGTTGCCGACCCCTGCTCTAGAAAGTTTTGAGGATGGAATAACAATGATATAATTTCTGTACCTTTGAAGGGTTCTCTGTGATTTGGTCATTATATTATTATATTGGTTAAATTGTACTTTTTAGGGTCTTTCATGTGTTCTGGCTCTAAAGAGGTCCAGAAGGGGTTGCTCTCTGTTATTAAAGCTCCTGTGACTCTGACCTGTGCTGTAGTGAAAAGTGATGGCCCCTCTCAGGAAATCAGACATCATGCTGACGAGTTAATTTGTTGCATTTATGTTACTGGGCCACAAATCACCTGGTCAGAGATCATGAGCTCTGATTCGCTCATATGACTTTTGGCTCCTCCCCTTAAATCTTGAAGAGACTAAGTAGCACAGAATCTCTGCTACCGTCACTCTGAGAACACCTAGACCAAAACAAAAACCAGCACATTCGCCACCAAAATTGATGGTTCCATTCCTGGAGAACTCTGAAAGATCCTGGAGACATCGTTTGACAATCTGATCCAGATTAGAGCGCATGAGACTGCCGCTCTAGTGCTGTCGGACCTCCAAATCACCATCTTTGCTCTACTTCAATAGGATTAAAAGAGGAGAGTCTGGATTATCAAGAGTCACTGCAGAGATGTAAGAATAGAAGCTCAGACTGCAGGAGAGAACGCCACGCTAGACTAACCTGCTCGTGTGTGACCACACAATACAGCGGGGTCCTTAACCAGCAGACTGTTTATGCTGCTGAGCTAGACTTCTGGTGATTACCTGCAAAATTTCTGGATTTTTGGGCATCTGTTTCAGCAACTCTAATCTGGTGGAAAGGTGGGGGAAAGGGGGCGGGGTTAATGTAGCAGTAGTCCCCCAAAGTTGATCCCCTCTATCAACTTCGGGTCTTCTCCAAACTAACTGTAAGTACTGAAGGCACAAACATGCACTTGACAATTGGACTCCAATAATCTCATTACTGACAGGAATGAACTGCTCTGCAACCTGCAGGCAGTGCTCGGGACAAACAGCACACAGAAACCTAGTGAGGAGGAGGAGAGGCTGCTACATGGATTACAGGTTCTTTCTCATCTTCCTCTTGCTCACCTGAAGCCTCCTCCTTGTCCTTCATGGCGTGCAGGCGGACCTGTGAGTGAAGCATTTGAAAGCTATGTAACTTGGAGAACTATGATTACAAGTACACACATCAACATGTTTTGACATTTTGTTGGAGATAAATATGACGTTTCAGTGATCTGGTGTTACTGTTCTGATTTGGCTGTTCTGATTAGTTTTGTCAAGTATCTTCAGGCATTCAGACTATAGCATGTTTGTCCACATATGCAGCACAGCTTCACATGAAGACCAGGAGGAACATTCAGAGAGCAAATGTGAAGATGATGCAGCTGCATTTCACTGCTGAAGATTGAAATAAAAGCAGAAGGAGCCTCATACAGCACAAAGGAGGAAATCCATTCTGTGCTCAGGTCCATGGGTTCATTTTGCAAAGGATTCTTTTCAAAACAATGCTGGTGATGTTTGAAACTAAATTAATTTTTTATCTATCCATTGTTGAATTTGTTCAGGTTTATTAACCAGTCATTTTTAGTGCCTCTGTTTTAACGACTAATGAAGAGTCCGTGCATCCATAATTCACAAGAATCGATTGTGCTCCTAGAGGATTGTTCAGATTTTAGTGAAACTTCTTATGGTCACATAATGGCCAATGGCCATAATGACTCAAGGTCATATTTTTCTTTTCACAGACAAAATCTGTGAATTGTGATGGATGGTGAACCAGGTGAGCTGCTACTTGATTGACATCCTGGTTTGCTTAAAACCAGCTCTGCTTAATGTGAAGAGTTGCTGCTTTAACAGTTTAAATCAAATTTTGATTATTTTGAGGGATGGGCTGTTTACAGCCGCATCATTTTGTTCTGCTCATCCAGAACCGAGAATTGACGTGTAAGTAAGTGTGGTTACAGCAGGTTAACTGTTCTTCCTATTCTTCCTGTTGATGATCCATAATTGGTGCCAAAAACCTCAGCTTGTTGAGCAGCTGATTGATAACGTTATTCAGCAATTTTCATGTTGGTGTTAATGTACATAGAGGATGTCTGTGTAGGTTACATGCAGGTCATGAGGAGTCTAAGGAGCTTGGAAAAAACCTCAACTGGACCTAAAGTTCTTTGAAGACGTTTCATTTGAGAGGCTTCTTCATTTCTAAAACCAAACGGTGGAGAGTCCAAGGTGATGTTGGGCAACTGGTAAAATTTATCGACCATCAACGATAGGCTGAGCCTTTCGCTAATCGTTTATACAAGAGCGATTTATTTATTTATTTGCCCAAGAGTAACTTTGCTAATACTATTGGTTAAAGTTAAGAGAAGCAGTCAAGGGAAAAAATAATAGAACTGTTTTAACGGCACCGTCTTCCAGCTACGAGCAAATGCACCCTCCTCAGAGTGTGCCCAAATGCTGCAATTCATTTACTCAAACTCATAACAGAAAGAAAGAAAGGCAGTAGCCTATGTTCAGAAAAAAACCAAACATTTTATTTAATTAAAATCCACACAATGGTTGGAAGGAAAACAAAGAGAAACTGGCTTTGTTTTGCCACTATAACTTTGTTTACACATTCCAGTGTTTATCTGTCGTACACGCTCGACCAAACAACAAACACAAAATTAAACAAAAAGTATGTTAAAAATCAAAATGTCTCTTCCAGCAAACATAGCTTTAAGTCTTTTGTTAGATTTGGCGCATCTCAAATGAATAGATAAATGAATAGTCCAAAAAGTAGAAAAGAAAGGTAAGGAAGGTAAAATATTCCCTCTAAACAAAATGTATAAATTCTAAATGTACAAATCACTCCATGCACGAATATATGCTCTCCCCATCAAAAAGTCTGCCCCTGGGCAAATATACCATCTATCGTCGGTTATTGGTCTTAAACCCTAGAGCGGGGTTGTCCCTTAGAAGGGTCGTTAATGAGGCATTTACCATGTGCCTCATCACATGAGACAAGGTGTAAAGAAAGGCGTGGCTCAGTGTGACTGGGAAGGATCTCAGAATGCATTGTAGATAGCAGACGGTGTAATAAGCCATCCTCTCTGTTCAAAGATGGTCATTCACAGTGAACATAGATGGCCTCTTTTACTCCTTTCAAATATCTGTCTTCTCACTCAACAATGTGATCGTTGGCATCCTCAAAAGATTGACCCCCACAAAAGTTCTTCCTGTGTAGATTTTGCAGGTTCACATTGTGCATTTGTGGCTTCTCTCTGGATACTCCCACTTCCTCCTACAAGCCAAAGACATGTGTGTATGTGTTTTAAAACACCTTTAACCTCTTCTGGTTGCTAGGAGACATGGACAGTAGTCAGTGGTGGGATCATGGTTCCTGGCATGGCGAGCCTGCTCCCATGTCTATGGTGAGTTGACGCCCTGCCTTGTCAGTAATCCATCAAACAAATCCTGTTCTGAATGCGGAACTGTTGTTGGTTGCTGTTATTGCCTAGTAACCATGTGTTTCCCATTGTGAATCATCAGCAGCCAGTCACATGGCAACCCTCCAAGGATGGAGAGCGTCTGATTGGTCGAATTCTACTGAACAAGAGGATGAAGGACGGAATTGTTCCTGCAGATACAGGAGCATTGCTGGGACTCAAGGTGGCCTTCTTCTGCTTTGTTCTACTGCCTTTTCTTTTTACTATTTCTTTCGCTATTCTTCTCTTCTCTTCATTCTCCTCTTTTGACAATACAGTTTGGTGCTGTGTGTTTGCAGGTTGTCGGTGGAAAGATGACAGAGTCTGGTCGTCTCTGTGCTTTTATCACTAAGGTGAAGAAAGGTAGTCTGGCTGACACTGTGGGTCACCTGAGACCAGGTAAACACACTGCTTTTCCTGATAGGTCTTAGTTACTTTGTTCACTGAGTCAGAGGTTGCTAAAACTGAATTAGATGGGCTCTACAATGTTATCTTTTCTTCTTTAGGAGATCAGGTTCTGGAGTGGAACGGTCGGGTTCTTCAAGGAGCCACATTTAATGAGGTCTACAACATCATCCTGGACTCCAAACAAGAACCACAGGTGGAGCTGGTGGTGTGTCGACCAATAGGGTGGGTCTCTGATCAAGCTGAGAGGCAGAAAATATTTCTGAGGTTGTTCTCTTCTCTTAGGACATCATAGTAACAGATTGTTGCTGATTCTATGTTCTTCAGAGATGTTTCCAGATCAGTAGAGAGTGCCCATGTCCAGCTGAACTCCAGTGAGTCTATAAAAAAACAAAAACTACATCTGTCCTGTTCATTAAGAACTTCCATAGATCTGATAGTGGACAAAGTTCCTGCTGACTCAGAATTGGTCTATTTAATGTTCAGGTTCCAGTTCCTTTGACTCTCAGAAAGTTGGCCCATCCATCTCTGTCACATCTCCAATGAGCCCCAGTGTTCTGTCTGGACAGGTCTCGGTAAGTTTACCCAGCATGCACTGCATCAGAACACAGCCACTCAGCAGTCAGTTAATAGCATTTCCATGGTGATGTGTGTTTTCAGACTGTGGACAGGCAACCTCTGGTTCCCCGGATTCAGGTAAAAATTGAAAAGGACGGCGTGTGCATGTTCATCTTTATTTACTCTGTAGTGTAGTCTTTTAGGCTGTAGATAAATGTATCACAGAAGAAGCAGAACAAAGTACTCCAAGTTTCTGGTTTTAGTGGTTCTGAGGGTATCCATTGTTGTTGTAAATGATTCAGCTTATGTGGCTAGAGACAGTTCTAAAATGTGCCTTGTAGTTAAAGTACTTTGAGCGGTCGGTAAGAGTAGAAAAGTGTAGTATAAATATGAGAACTTTACAGTATAGTTCTGTTAGCACTGTTCTTGTCTGTAGGGTCCTTTGCTCTTCCAAAGAATTTTGCCTCCTTTAGCTGTGTTCCATAACTATTTTTCAATATGTATTCATGCTAAGGCTCCCCTGCAGTTTTGTGATTCTGTTTTGTACCTCTACTTTTTGCTTTGTAAAAACTCTCTAAGGTTCCTTCCAGGGGTCCTGACTCTGTTGCTGTTCCTTGGGGTTCCATTACAGTTATGGGTTGATACAATTTTCTTCATGCCCCCTTTTGGTTATCATCTTACTGGGTTTTCTGGGTTTTCTGTAGCAATCACCTGGTGTTTCACTGGGCTCAGCTGGTAATTGGTTATATTGTCTGTTTGAATTTGTAGGTGCTTTCGGTCTGCTCTGCTAACAAAACTTTTCTGCAGGGTATCTCCTGCTGATGACTGGAGCTTCTTTTCTTTGGTCCTTTTTTGTTGTTCTCCAGGCTTCTTCTGTATTACTATGGTGTCCTAATGATGATGTTGTGGGTATTCTACAGGTGAAGCTATGGTATGATAAAGTCGGCCACCAACTGATTGTCACCGTTCTTGGAGCCAAAGAACTTCCTGCTCGGGATGACGGCCGACCCCGGAACCCATACGTCAAGATCTATTTCCTGCCAGATAGAAGGTGAAAAAGCAATCAAAGACCAGTATTTTATGGCTTAGAGGTTCCTTGAAAAGTAAAACTGTAGAACTTCTGATATCCTTTAAAACCAGTAGTGGACTATTCTCTGTGATTGGCTGTTAGTTGTACCTTCCTCCTTTAACAGTGATAAGAGTAAGCGGAGGACAAAGACAGTGAAGAAGTCATTGGAACCTCGGTGGAACCAAACCTTCATGTACTCTCCGGTCCATCGACGTGAGTTCAGAGAGCGAATGCTTGAGCTGACAGTCTGGGACCAGGCTCGAGTCCGAGAGGAGGAGAGCCAGTTCTTGGGAGAGGTGAGAACCCATGAACAATACAGAACAATGGAGAGGATATGTGAAAACTCATTAAACTAAGAACCTTTAACAGTTCAGTTCTGACCTACTCTGCCTTGCCTTAGGTTTTATCCGATACCGGTGCCAAACCGGTACTTTTGAAATGGTGCCGGTGCTTAAACGGTACTCGAACCGGTGCTTAAAGAATGGAGAACACACACTTTGTCCAAAAACCTCTCATGTTTAGCTGTTTTTAAGTAAAAAGATAACAATGTTAGCCTTTTCTGCAGCTATAAGGTTCAAGGTTCAAGGTTCTTTATTTGTCACATGCATAGTTATACAAGTATAACACACAGTGAAATGTAACCTGACACGCTCCTCGACATGTACAAAAATGGGGGGGGGGGGGGTAGAGGAAGAACATTATATATATGGTATAGAATAGAATTCAACTTTATTGTCATTGCACATGCACAGGTACAGGGCAACGAAATGCAGTTTGCATCCATCCAGAAGTGCTTTAGTGATATAGATATATTACAATGTATATTAGCAATAATATAGACATGTGAGTATATTACAGAAATGGGTCTATTATGGTATGTTATAATGTACACGGTATGAAGTATGTTATGAATATTCTATAACTATAGGTATGTACAGGCTATGAACAGGATATAAGTATGAAAAACTATACAGAAATCTGAGCTATACAGTTATACAGAAATGTGAACTATGCAAGTTATAAACAGTTGTAGGATTAAAAATTATCGTATGTACAGAATGATTATTTACACAGAATTATACAGTAGTGCAGTTAAGATAAGTGAGATATGTGGATAATTTCTACAGAGGCTATATATAGTGCTAGTGGTTGTGAGTGGTGGTTCAGTCCATGTTATTATTGTGTCTTTGAGGGTACAGTTGTCCAGTGTGTGTGTGTGTGTGTGTGTGTGTGTGTGTGTGTGTAGGTGGTTGCGGGTGTGTGTGTGTGTATGTCCAGTCCATGTGTTAATGTGGGTCAGATGTCAGGAGGCAGAGTTCATGAGTCTGACAGCTGTGGGGAAGAAGCTGTTCCGGTACCTGGTGGTCTTAGTCCGGATGCTCCTGTAGCGCCTCCCAGAGGGCAGGAGGGTGAAGAGTCCATGTGATGGGTGACTGGGGTTTTTGATGATTTTCCCAGCCCTTTTCAGACACCGCTTCCTGTAGATGTCCTTTATGGCAGGAAGTGGTGCTCCGGCGATGCGCTGGGCAGTTTTCACGACCCTCTGCAACGCCTTCCGGTCCGAGGCAGAGCAGTTCCCGTACCAGACTGTTATACAGTTGGTCAGGATGCTCTCGATGGTGCAGCAATAGAAGTTCACCAGGATGTCTGAGGACAGGTGGTTCTTCCTCAGAGTCCTCAAGAAGAAGAGGCGCTGGTGAGCCTTCTTGACCAGCTTGGAGCAGTTGGTCGTCCAGATGAGATCCTCGGAGATATGGACTACCAGGAACTTGAAGCTGCTCACACGCTCCACAGCCGTCCCCTTAATGTAGATGGGTGGATGTGGGTCAGCATTCCTCCTGTAGTCCACGATGAGCTCCTTGGTCTTCTCAGTGTTAAGCAGAAGGTTGTTTCTGTCGCACCACTCAGCCAGACGATAGGCTAACGTGGTTAGCCTACTCAATGTAAATTACACACAAACAACAGTAAGCTATTCACCCAGAGAAGAACGGCTGCTGCTGCCATCATCATCAACCGATAACAGGCACCACACCCGCAGTAGATGTGCTCGGTGTGAGGTCTTGCAGCAAGCTATCAAATACGGTGCATTTCTCAACTTTTAAGAAAACGCTATGCGTCGCCAGGTGTTTCATCAGATTCGAGGTGTTACCTCCTTTGCACAGTATCACCTTAAAGCACTTGTTGCAGGCTGCTGAGTTTGTATTTTTTGCTGTGAAGTACAGCCAGACTTTTGACCACTTTGCCTTGGGCATTTTTAATCTGTAGCTCTGCTCTGAAAGAACGTATGTACCTGGGCCCGCCTACTATCCTGGGAAAGGTAAAATGATTGGCTAGAATCCAAAGTGTATGACATTTCAGGAAAAAAGGACCGAAATGTGCGCTGCTTTTCGGTCTGGTTACTACCGTTTATGTTAGATAATAATGGCACCGGATACCGTTATCCATTCCTACTGTTCAGTCCTGCAGTAATTATTCAGTTTTTATTGAACTATAGATCCCTAGCACTGGTTCATCTTATTGCAGCCTACATATCAAAATACCAATAAATGATGCATGTTGCTAGGCAACCCAGTGTGACTTGTTGTCTTACATTACTTATTGGGGTCAGAATAACGTCCTCTGCAGTTCTGAATATAAGTGATCGTGATCATAAGAATCAGAAGAGTCTGTTCAGTGACAGGTTGCTTCTCCCCAAGACAAGAACTAACAGACTTAAAAACTCCTTTGTCCCACACGCCATCAGACTGTTTAACTCCTCTCTGGAGGGGAGAGGGAGGGGAAACAGGAGGACAAAGGAGGGGGGAACAACTAAGCTGTAGTGCCTCTTCACCTCACTGTGCAATACTTTTGTAAATAGTCAACAGTGCAATAGACTCAATACTTGAAATGTGCAATTCACTTGTATTTTTATTTTTTATTCCTATTTATTCTATTTATCCCCTTTGTATATTTTATTTATATTTGTCTCTGTATATATATATGTGTGTGTGTGTGTGTGTGTGTATGTATGTGTGTATATATATATATATATATATATATATATATATATATATATAACAATTCTGTAACTGTAACTTCGGTCGTTGCTGTGCTTTTTTTGGAAGTCGAATTTCCCAGAGGAACCCACCCGAGGGATTAATAAAGTTCTATCTTATCTTATCTTTTTTTTCTTGTCCCACACACCCCTAAATTCACAGATGATTAAACACATTTTCGGAAAAGTCATGAAGTCTGAGATGATGGAATTTTAATTTAACAGAATTTGAAAATTCCAAGGGGTCAAAGTGACCCCCTTTGTGATTCTAGTGTTAATTAGCACTGAAAATGTTAAAACAGGTCCATGTGTTTGCTCCCAGTTCTTTATTTGTTCTCCTTTCTACATACTCTGTATATTCTTAGTGTTCTCTGTATGTTTTGCATCCATTCTCCTGAGTCAGATCCTGATAGAGATGGAGTCTGCTCTGCTCGACGATCAGCCTCACTGGTACAAACTGCAGCTTCATGACGTTTCCTCACTGCCACTGCCCAAAGCCTCCCCCTACCTGCAGAGGAGGGGACTGCAAGCTGAGCACACACACAGCAGCAGGAGGCTGCAGAGTAAGACACACACTCTCTCTCTCTCTCACTCACACACACACACACACACACACACACACACACACAAACACACGCACGCGCACACACACAACAAACCTGTGTCACAACCTCACACAACAACATGTTATTTGATGGATCATTTGGAGGGATGCTCTCCTCTGCTGGGACTGGTAATTTCACTGTAGTTGATACATGCTCTGATCACTGGAAAATGAGTCGGTTGCTAAAGTTTTGTTCAAACTGGTTTACCATGTTATAGAGTCAGAGAAGAAAGGTGAACTCTGAGATTTGTAACGAAAAATTGACAAAAGTCAAATGAGTGAAGGAGTCCAAAACTTGACATTCATCTTTTTGCAGACTTAATGGAGAGTCCAGCCTCTGGTTGCTGAAACCCTCTAACATGTCTATCAATGGTAGCCTTTGTTTCTGTTGGTAGTCAGCGGGTAGTAGCAAAGAAAAAGGGAGAAAAAACCTCGGTATACAGTCACTTTGCTTCACTAACACGATGGTCTCTGCTTGCCACGTTGCTGCTGGGCTCTTCCTACGTGTATGCCCCTGAAGTCAATTGTAGAAGAGCTCAAAATGAAAGAATGTTGGATTGGGCTTATTTCATCAGTGAATGTTTAGTCCAACAACCTAACAACCAGTCACAGCAGAGCAGGCCTCTGGCAGATCCAATCCAACACCAGTCCTCTCATTCATTTCTTTATTTGTTTATTATGCTTTATTGTTAACGTCTTCTTCTTCTTCTTCTTCTTTTGTTTCATTTGTTTTTCTTTATTTTAAATCATCCACAACGCTTTGCTAGACAAAGGTCATTACTATAACTCAGGTAAAAACGTGCGCCTGTGTGTGTGTGTGTGTGTGTGTGTGTGTGTGTGTGTGTGTGTGTGTGCATGCACGCACGAGTGAGCTCTATGGCATTTCCCTGTGTGATGCTAAGCTATCCATTTCAAGTGCTATTTAGTATTTATAGTTTTAATAAGTCATTGATTGATAATTGCTGCACAAATATAGCCCTGCCTGATCATATCATAGTGATGCAATTAAATGTTATTTTACCAGGCAGAAAGCTCTCATGAAAGATATTATGTAGCCAAATCATGGGAGACGTAGTTCTTGAAATATTTGTACCTCAGCTACTCAAAACTTGATGATTAGGGTTTGATCTTTGAGGGACTAGAACAGAACTAGCTGCCTGGATCCTGGAATGATTGATTAGAGCGAGTGCATCCAGAAGGTTATTGGGTTCCATATAATACTTGAAGACATGTCAAACTGTGCATGAAAAGGTTCTGGACAGACTGTTCAATGGATTATTGGTAAATCTCTCAAGGGAGTTCTGGATCTTCTTGTGGGAGATCTTTGATGTTGTACCAGGAGGAGTCAATTGGACGTTCTAGGTGTAGGATGTTGAATATATGAACATATGGTCAGCCTAATTCAACTTCTTAAAACAAAAAAACAACAACTAAGACACAGTTTTATGAGGAGTTTTATGGTTGGAAATCCTCAGGTGAACGGCTACAATGACCTAACCAGTGGTACATATCAGACAGCTGGTCAAAATGTTGCTTAATTTCGAAGGCAGATTTTTTTTTTTTGTCAGTATTGCCATTGTAACCTGTAACTGTGTTTTAGTTCAATTATCCTGTGAGTTGGACTTCATTTATGTTATTGATAGCACTGTATGGCCCCGTGGAACAAAATATGACCCATCGCTGATCTGGAGTTCACAACAGAAAAATAAATCAGAGAACAGAAGTGATCACTGCATCATTTCTATAACAGTGATGCAGTTGTTATGTCCAGCTTTATTTCTGCAGAGAGACTCATGTTAAAGTCGTGAGCATGGACTCAGGACGGAGGAGGTCAGTGCTGCTCAAATTCCCACAGGTGTTCTATCGCTCTTTATATTTTTCTTCCAGCTGATCTTTGCTGGATGGGTTTTATTGCTCCACATTTCTCTTTAAAAGATGAGAGCAAGTGACACACTCATCTCTACTTTCCTCCTTGGATCTTTTGTTTGGATGTTTTTATGCTTTAACAGGAAGTTGACTTCATTTGGGTACACTGATACACACTCATGATGCCATCTATAAATGTTCTCTTTCTAGTACCTTAATCTCTCATGCAGCCACCTATCATCAAACTCTGACCACTCTGCTTCACTTTTGGGACTAATGCAGAAATCTTATTTGTGTATAAACATGCTGGCCTTTGTGTGGCCAGAAAATTATTAATTTCAGCATTCAGTCCGAAACTCTGACTGCTGTTAAATTTCACGCATTTGTTAAAGGCTGATGTGGATGTGGATGAAAAGGTTCTGGTCAAGGAGTTGTAAAAGGTTTAAGGGAGTCTGTGTGTAATATCAGATGAATGTGTCTTTTATTGCTCCAGCGTTAACTGGTTTGTCCTCTGGCTGTTCGGTCTGGAGTGTTAGATTTGTTGACCTTCTTGTAGAAGATTACAGATGAGCTGCTTACAGGCTTAAATGTCCTCCCTCTCTCCATCTGCAGGGTCTCAGAGGATCAGTGACAGCGAGTTTTCAGATTATGACTGTGAAGACGGCATTGGGGTGATATCAGGTAAACTCCATATCCCATCATTCACTGCAGTCTCATTTTAAAGGATACAGGAGAGAATACTAACTGGCTCAAGTGGATTAAAAACATGCTGCTGTAAGACAATGGGAATCTAATCATTTTATAAGTTCCTCAAACTGCTTAAGGTAAACCATTTGAGGATTATGACATAAATGTGACTGCATAACTTGAAATTACAAAATAACTGAGTCAGGGTTGATGGTTGAACTCCTGCTCTGTTTCTCTGTGTGCAGACTACAGACAGAATGGGCGCGAATTCCATAGCTCCACCCTCTCAGTGCCAGAGCAAGTGATTTCTCCCAATCACTGCTCCCGTTCCGACATGGTCAGAATGAGGTCACGGTCACCGAGCCAGCCGCCTCCTCACAGGTAAGTATCTGTGTGTTGGGGATTTGAGATGGGCCCAAAACATGACAACAGAAGAAGAAACTAAAAAAGGTACCTGAAGAGCTAAAATTAGAAAAACAAGATGGGACGTGAGGGTAGAAAGGGAAAGATGCCACCAGAGAAGATTTGGGAGTACAGCAAGTTGATGCTTTAATCTGCAATCAAACTACAGTATTTGTCTTATCATGTACGTCAAAAGATTCTTGCATGTGAGAGCTTATTGGAGATAATTTATTGTGAGTTTATTGGTCTTTCCCCATAAAGTTATAAATATGTATTTCCATCTTTCTCTATCCTTATTGAGCTTATCCAAAAGAGTGACTGTATGCAAATATTAAGTTTGTAATAAGTAACACCGTGTTTAGGCTATTAAAACTCAGCTGTTCTCAAGCGATATCGAGTCTGATGAAGTGCTTCAGACTTTGTCCAGGTGATCATTTACTGTGTGCAGCATTATCTTATAGTGCATATGTCCTATTTGTATCCCTTGGAAATCACTGCTCCAACAGGTAACAGCAGCTGTGCAGTATGTCTACATGAGTCAAAATGCTGTGGAAATAATGCCAGTGTTTTTATATTATCAGCGGCTGTGGATCGGGTTGAGCAGGTTGTCGAGCAATCGAAAGGTTGGTGGTTCATTCCCCAGCTACTCCAGTCGGTTGAAATTTCCTTGTAAATTATAAACGAAGTGGTTCTTATGACGTGCTTTCTACCTACTATTCAGACTGCAGTGATCGCGTCGGAATGTTCCAGTATCTTGCCCGACGCGCTTTGGCATGCAGGCTAGAGCAGACAGGGATCAACCACCAACCTTACAATTATTAGATGATCTGCTCTACCTCTCAAGCTACAGCCAACCTGAAGTCCAAATGTTCAGCAAATGTTGCACTAAATGAATGTGTGTGTGAGACTGGATGAATGAGACTTGTAATAGAAAGTGCTCTGAGTGCTCAAATTGAGTATAAATGCACTACATAAGTACCAGTCCATTATCAAATAGAAGCCTAATAAACCCAAAACATTAGTAGCTAAATCCATATTGTTCAAGAGGAAGGAATATATTAGTGTTCCTATGACTACAGAATTTTTGACTGGATAAAACGAGCTTGATCAAGACGGATTCTACCAAGTACTTTGGCTCTCATAACTCTTTCAGCATTTTCCAAAAATCCAGACTGTCCTTGATATCATTCAGACTGTTGGTCACCTCAGGGACTTCGACCATGTGTGGAGAATGTGTTAACATCCTTCCCTATTGTTTAGATGTTTTCTAAGAAAGCTAATAATCTTTGCATTGTCCGCGGCTGTTTCACACTCTAGAATTGTAGCACCATCCAAAATTGCTCTCATGTCTACATTAGCAAAGCTAAAGTTATGTTGGTCTGGCATGATGGCAGCCATAAAACTCACATGAGTTGTTATCTTCCCTTTCCTGGCAGTTTCTTTTGCTATGCATTTTTTTGTCACTGGTTTACTGCTTCAAAAGTGTAATCATTAGTATTCAAGGTTTAATATGACTCACAGGTTTTTATCTTGAACTTTGAACTTGAATTTTTAAACAAATAAGCTTTTGAAGCCAGACAGGAAGTGGTCTTCCTAAAGGCATCATCCTCATTTTATCCAGACTTTTCTGTTCTTGCCATTCTGACCTTTGACATCTGGTTGCCAGCAATAACCCTCTTTACCCGTTATATCGGGAGGACGCGGTGCGGCTGCTGCGGGGCTCCAAACTGAGCCGAGCATTCTCTGATGCCAGCCAATACAGCACCCCGAACAGGTAACTATGGTAACACTAGGGATGGGTATCGTTTAGGTTTTATCCGATACCAGTACCAAACCGGTATTTTTGAAACATGAAACCTCTCATGTTCAGCTGTTTTTTTGTAAAAAGATAACAATGTTAGCCTTTTCAGCAGCTATAGGGGATTTATGACATCACGCTTGGCTGGAAGCCGCGCTTAAACAATTAAAAAAAAACACACAAACTTTGTCCAAAAACCTCTCATGTTTAGCTGTTTCCCTCTTTTTCTTTGGTCATTTTAGCCTTTTTTGCCAGGGTGAAGGGAGTATCTGCCATCAAACAAGAAGACAGCCGCATGTAACTACGACGGTGTTTGCTAGTTCACCTTATATGCATTAATGTAATAACGTGGTTAGCCTACTCAATGTAAATTACACACGAACAACATTAAGCTACTCACGCAGAGAAGAACGGCTGCTGCTGCATCATCATCCTCATCATTTCTGCTACACTGGCAGGGCTAGGGGCCAGGACTGTACTCTTCGGGTTCTTGGGGGATGTTGCTAACTCCGGGTCCAATAACAGGCACCACACCTGTAGTAGATGTGCTCGGTGTGAGCTCTTGCAGCAAGCTATCAAATACGGTGCATTTTTCGGCTTTAAAACCCCCCGCTATGCGTCGCCAGGTGAGGTGTTACCTCCTTTGCACAGTATCAGCTTAAAGCACTTGTTGCAGGCTGCTGAGTTTGCATCTTTTGCTGTGAAGTACAGCCAGACTTTTGACCGCTTCGCTTTGGGCATTTTTAATCTGTAGCTCTGCTCTAAAAGAACGTACGTACCTGGGCCCGCCTACTATCCTTGGAAAGGTAAAATGATTGGCTAGAATTCAAAGTGTGTGACATCTCAGGGGAAAAAAGCACCAAAATAAAGCACCAAAATGTGCGCTGCTTTTCGGTCTGGTTACTACCGTTTATGTCAGAACCGATACCAGTACCCATCCCTAGGTAACACATAGGAACATGCCCAATGTGAGTCATCTGGACATCAGCTAATCAGCATGCACCCTGCATCATGTAATATTGTTTATCTGCAAACTAATAATAATAATAAGAATAACCAGTAAACATGGTGTCGGACTGCAGCAGGTGTGTCAGAGTCAGGTAAACCCCACCTGTCTGCTGCTGCTGAACAGGTTTGAATCAGGAAACAGGTTGCATACTTGATTGGACATCTGATCCATGTACAGGTTTTAGAAGTAGATTTAGTGCTTTTCTTTGATGTTTTACTACTAGTTGTTCTGCTTCTGGCTACAGTAGCAGTTAGAGCTTGTTGGAGTAAATTAATTTACTGGGTGATGTACTGGGTTACAGAGATATTTTTGTGCTGCAGCATTTAGTTCTGCTTTTGAACTGGTTTTGACATTACAGCTTAGAGTTGTAGTATTGCTTATACTGCCTATATTGATTGTAGTAGTAGTTATGGTCCAGGTTATAATAAGTATTTAGTTTTAGTGTCCCTGTAGAGCACTTAGTGGTACAGTTAATAGTACTGGTTGTAGAACAGCAGTTGTACTGGTCTGACTGGTTCTCTGACTGGACACTGCTTCTCCCTGTGTACTTACAAGGCCATTGAGGAGGATGTCGCTTGCCAACTCACTTGATTCCCATGACAGGTACTTCTCTATCAGAATTCCAGCAGTGGCAGTAGTCATAGTACCAACAGTAAAAGCAATGATCTAAGAAAGTGGGGTATTTTTCTGTCTTGTAATCCTTTTCTGTGTGTAAGATATTTTAATGGCCCTAACCAGAGCTGGACAAACCACATCATCAATGGGAGCTGTGATGACTACAGGTGAGCCTTGGAAATTAGGATGTAGTGTTAGAGGTTGATGGCAGGTTCAGACTCATCATGTTTTGCAGTTCTGACGTCTTTCTGTTCTTCAGTCAGGACTTCATCCCTGATTTTCCCTATGAGCCTGACACCTACGATGAGGAACTACTGAGGTAAATGGATGAACATTTAAACAGTTTGACTATTAGAAAGGTGGACATTCAGACCAGTAGTTATGGCAGTAAAGAACAGATGTATTAAATTCAGATCATTTTTTTTAAATACATCACTTTATATTTTTAGGTAAAACTATACAAGAGATTAAAACCCTACAATCAGATGATCTCCTGTGAGCAGCACTTGGCAACAGTGGAGAATGAAGAACTTCCTTCTAATTTAAAGATGTCAAACTTTTCATCATGGGCAACACATAGCCCACTTTGATCTTCAGTGGGCCGGACCACTGAAATTCGCCTTACTATGTAATAATGTAATAAACTTAACTACACATTTTATCCCTGAGATATTTTAATGTAAGAAAAGGGATTCAAATTTCAAGAACAAACCTCAGTTTTTCTACATTTATAAAAAAAAAAGTAAATGAAAGAATTCTGTCAACACGACTGTTAGGGCTTAAATTGTAAGATAATGTGTAAAATAAAAGAAAAAGTTCTGGGACCTCATTGCCCAGATTGATGGAATGGAAACATTTTGTTAATTGACAGACTCAAACAGACAAAATACAGCTAATGTCCAAAATTTATGTCCTTCTTCACATTTTTGAAAGCCACCCAGCGGGCCTGATTTGAGTCTTTGGCGAGCTGATTTAGCATACAGCCCTAACTGTAAGCTTTATTATGAAGGAAAGTTTTGAGTCTTATCTTAAAAGTAAATGGGGGGCCTGTTTCCCTAATCCAAACCTGGTCCTAGGCCTGATGGCTACCCCTTCCTGAGCCTGGTTCTGTTTAAGTTTTCTTCTTGTCAAAAGGGAGGTTTTCTTTCCCACTGTTGCCAAGTGTTTGCTCACCAGGCATTGTCTGGTTATTAGGGTTTCTCTCTAATATTGTAGCATCTCAACCTTACAGCATAAAGCACCTTAAGCCAACTGTTGTGAATTGACACTTTATACAGTGTCATGAAAAAGTATCAGCCCCTGATTTCTTTTTAGGAGTTACTGTAGCTCAAGAGGTAGAGCAGGCGATCTACTAATCAATATTGGTGGTTCTGTCCCAGGATTCTGCAGTCTGCATGCCAAATATCCTTGGGCAAGACACAGAAACCAAAGTTGCTCTCTGACGTGTTCATCGGTGTGTGAATGTTAGATAGAAAGCACAGGGGAAAAAAAGTGCTTGTGTGAAAGGGTGTGAATGAAGCAAGTTATATAATGTACTTTGAGGGGGGTGGGGATATTTGTCAGACTTAAATGTTCCCGATCAAACAATTTTTCTCCACTAAACCTCATAACTGCTTACCTTGGCAGCAAGAATTGCATGAGCAGTGAGTCTTTTATATCACTGTGAAAGAATCATAGCCCACACTGCTTTGCTGAATTGTTTTAGGTCAGCAACATTGGAGGATTTTCCAGCATGAACAGCCTGTTCAAGTTCAGAGCATCTTAATCTCATTTAAATGAGATTTAATGTCCTACAGGATTTTATGGTAGAGAGCAGAATTCATGGTTCCATCAATTACAACAAGTTGTACAGGTCCTGAAACAACAAAGCAGCAGATCATTACACTACCGCCACCATGTTAGCTTTATGTCACATGTAACATGACTCAAACCTTCCAAAAAAGTTCAGCTTTTGTGTCATCGATTCACAGAATGTTTTCCCAGAAATCTTAAGGATCATCATGATGTTTTTCGGGGAAATGTCAAATGAACATTTGTGCTCTGATGACGCAGTGCAATGACTTTCAGAACATAAATGCTAAATTTCTATGATCTATGTCGGGACAAGATCCACAGTGCAATTAAAACTTGACTTGGTTTATTTACATTATGAGAGTAGTTATGTTTATGATGTAGCTGTCTTCTTACCCACTGGTTTCTGGAGTCCACATTTGGACTCAACTTGAACCTTCTTTTATTTTGTGATTTTTGTTTTATTTTTGTTGGTCTTTTTGTTTCATATTTCAAGGATGAAGTGCTCATTTATAAACTAATTCTAGCTAGCTCGGTTATCTAGCTGCATTCAAAGACTGTACAGGAGCATCACTTAGACCAGAGGTGTCCAAACTTTTTTCACTGAGGGCCACATACATAAAAATATAGGAGGGGCTGGGCCACTTACTAGAAATTAGGTATATAACCTTAACTTTAGTGTATTAATTAATTAATTATTAAATCACTTAAAAGTGGTCAAATATGTTATATTGTTGAATATAATTAAAGACAAAACTGCCTTCATCACAGCTTTCCATAAATGGATCTTTATTGATTTATTCAGAAAAAGCTTTGGTTGCTCATTCTCAGAACAGCAGCCTCAGATTTCTTCTTGGACAGAAGATTTACAGCACAGAGAAAAAACAATAAAGGGGAAAATGGGACGAGTACATTTCAAGCTTGTTATTTAAGTTATTAGGCTTAGCAACACACCTATTAACGTTTGTTTGAAACCGTTATCAACATTAACAGACTGAACTGGACTTAATAACAGACTTAATAACTAATTTTAGTAAATTATTCTGGTGAGTATCAGCTGCGCCGGGTATGTAAATCGGGCCATCCAGCTGCGGTGCTGGTCGCCACTCGTGGCAAAAATCCGGACAAATGTCACTTGATCAAGAAGCAGATGTGCATCAGATGAGATCAGCTGATTTTGCGTGTGCGTGCGCTGTGCACATCGGTGTGTACTCTTAGTGTTAAAAAACGCATATAAGAAAGTGGTCTGCAAAAGCAGGGTAGTGACAGAATTGATGCGCACATTAACACACGGGTACTGTGGAATATATCTTTTACTCACCTAAAGTGCTCTCGTCCACTCCCCGCAAAACAATTAGCAGCTGTGCGGTGTCTGTGGCATCGGTGCTCTCATCACATGCGATGGAGTAAAAATCAAAAGCACAGCTTTATCAGACAGTTGCAGTTTAATGTTGGCTGACAAGTCTTCAGTGCGTGTGCGTCGCACAACTGTATCTCTGGACATGCTGACGTTGTTGAAGTTCTGCACTTTTTCCGGGCACATTATTTTGGTGACTTTAACGAGGCAGTGTTTTATGAGGTCTCCATCTGAAAAAGGCTTGCCATGTCTTGCGATGAGTTGGGCGACCTCATAGCTGGCTATTGGAGCCTTTTCCTGGACAATTTGAGCACGAAAAAAAATACTGTTGCTGACCCCGCAGGAGAGCTACCCTTTGCTGCTCTCGCTCAGCACCAGTGTAGGATGCATAGGCCTGATGTTTGGTTTCATAATGACGTCGTACATTATACTCTTTCATAACTGCCACAGTTTCAGTGCAGATCAAACAGACACTTCCCCTTGAATTCTTTGAAGAAATATTCACTCTCCCACGGTGTCTGAAATTTTCTGCACTCACTTTCTACCTTTCGCTTCTTTGGTTCTGCCATATTTAGTAACCTGGGTTAAATTTCTTCTGTGATTGTCAAGACACTTCACCCGTTGTCTACTGGTGGTGGTCAGAGGGCCCGGTGGCGCCAGTGTCCGGCAGCCTCGCCTCTGTCAGTGCGCCCCAGGGTGGCTGTGGCTACACTGTAGCTTGCCATCACCAGTGTGTGAATGTGTGCGTGAATGGGTGGATGACTGGATATGTAAAACGCTTTGGGGTCCTTAGGGACTAGTAAAGCGCCATATAAATACAGGCCATTTACCATTGTCCTTTTTGGTGGAGCAACTGCCTTGATCAACAGTAGCACCTCCTGGTGTTAAAACTAAGAAGTGCAATCAAAGGAGCTTGCAAAGAAAAGCGTCTGGACTTCTTTAAGTTGCTTGAAGACGTTTCACCTCTCATCCGAGAAGCTTCTTCAGGTCATCTGACTACGATGATGTAGAACCTTCACAGACTAAGAAGTGCAATACACTCAAGCAAAAGTTGAAGTGCGGGCCATAGTCTATTCTATATATAAAATTACTTGTGGGCCAATTAAAAATGGACCGCGGGCCGGAGTTTGGACACCCCTGACTTAGACATAAATACCTGTTAATTACTAAGATCAAAGATCAAAATGAAATCCTAGAATTTCACCAAATGTGGGGCTGAAACTTCTTAGACAGTCTGTTATTACATTAACCTTGCAGCAGCCATATTATTGGTCAGATAATACAATTTAAAAATGCTCCAAAAGGCTCCAACATCACAAACATGGTCCAGAGTCCTGTTCAGAGACTGATTTGCTGAGATGACGTCTAGCAGGGAGCTAGCAGCTACAGCCATCCACCTGTTAGTCAAAGAGGCCACGCCACTAATAATGGAAATTTTAAGCCAGTTTAAACGGGTGAGTTATGAAAACATCCTCCTCATATGAAGGGGTTATGAAGGGGAAAATTATCTATACAGACCAGACCAGTTTTTGTATCAGGCTGTAATTATGTTTATTTCTGTTGTAAAGTTTTAATACGGGAGGACTGACTCACTGCTGGAGCCTCTGTTGGACCTCAAAGGAACTGCAGGTTTTGATATTTATTTTAGTGCTTTGTTGCTAAACTTGCCATCAATGCTAACATCTCCCACAATAATTATTTTATCTAAAGTGATTGCCCTCATTAATTCAAATTAAAAGTAAGTAAGGGGCAAGCAGAAGATAAGCAAAAGCAAATAAAACTTTTTAAAAAATATTTTCTAGTTCAGGTGTAAGAGACTTAAGAATGAAAGGCTGCTGACACTGTGTAGAGCAGATGTAGGGAACACTGTTTTTCTACTGTCTCACTGAAGCCCTCTGGGAAATTCAGTGCCAAATAAAAGCATCCTCTTCTCTGGTGGCATTTCATCAGCCTTCAGTGCCTTATACTTCATGACTCCCAGTCCACCACATGTGACAAAGATCTGGTCGTCAGCGCGACGTGGATAACTGACCTGTCCTGCAGCTGCAGTGGTTGTCATAGTAATCTAGGTGACAGTTATCATGGTGATGTGCAGGTACAGTCGTGGGATGGACCGGAGAGATTACTACAGCCGATCTCGTTCAGCCGACCGACCCATCTACACACGCTCACACTCAACCGATCGATCTGACTCCACACACATGAGGTCTGGACGGTCTGCTCCCCCCTCACCTGCCCTGATCAGGTGACCCTCAGCCATCCAATTAGAAAGCAGCTCCATCTCCATGTTTGGGGCATGTTTTTTTTTTGTTTTTGTTTTTTAATTTGGTTGGTTGTTTGTTTTAGACAAGCATGAATTCTGACTCAATGGTGACCACAACAGTTTTATTTTTCGCCTTTATTTTAGCCCCACCATATGTCCCAGTGACATCACCAACACCTGAACGTTTCATATTTGGCCGCAGCTTTTATATTCTGATTGTTTTGTTTTATTTTGGGTGGCAAGTTAGTCTGTGTTGTTGTTGTTCATTTGTTTGATGGTTGTGTTGCATGTGCTTCTAAAGAATTTCTGTTCACTTTCTGACACCTAACTGTTGGATGTTCAGTTTCCTCCAAACTGGGCTTGGCACTCAGGCGTATTGCCTGCAACATACAAGTACCAAATTTAAGCAGGGAGGTTTCTGTCTGCGATCACAGTGCTGCCTCTATCACAGCTCTGAACACACCCAGTGGCAGCTGATGTTGGTCAGCTGTATGTATCTGTATTTCACAGAGACAGATTTGTTTGTAACGTCTTAGAGATATTAGAGCTACAAACAGGTTTTCAGCAGTGATGGGGCCTTGCACTCTTTGTTTCAAGTGTGAATTCTTTCTGTTCATGTTATAATTTTTTTCCAACAGTTATACAGAATTAATGACGTCCAAAGGTTTACATTCCTACCTGGTTGTGTGATGTACAGGTATGCTTCAGGACACTGTAACATCACAGTTGGGTGTGGCTGCATGTGCAAGAAGAGTCCACTCTAACTTTTGCTTGTTACTGCTTCTCAAGCAAAAACATCTGGAGTGACTGCAGACTTTTCATTAACTGACTGAATACAGTGCCAGACTAAATGCTGATCAAACTCTATCTGTGACTATGGAGGGAACCTCAAACTGACTGTCATCCCTGACATCTGACCTTAAATCTCTCCTGTCAGGATGGCGGTTTGATTGTTTAATTTCTTTCTCTTCTTCTTTTTAAGAATTTATTTATTTTTTCATCAGGGCTAATGCTGGAGGCGGTTCCACCTTGACAAGCCCAACGGGGACGCCTATTTGTGGTCGCCGAGGACGCCAGCTACCTGCTGTCCCCCCCAAAGGAGCTCTCGACAGAAGTGCGTATACTTGAGATATTAGTCAAACAGCACCTCCAAGCATCTCTGAACCAATCAGCTGATGGACCCATCACCATCCACCTATAACAAAACTTTGTTTTATATAAAGGCAAGCCTGCAGACTTATTAAAAAAATAGAGAAAAATAGAGGTTTTACAAATTTCAAGATGAGGTCTGAGATAATTTCCTAATGGGTATGAATATGGATGAAGTGTAACTTCTTTCACACAAAATAAATAATGAATACTGCAAATGGTGCCTAGTCCAATCACAGACAGATGACGATGATAAAAGTGGACAAAAATTGTAGCACTTTTGCAAATGAGACAAGTCGTGAATGCTGCAGTAATTGATGAGAGTTATGACTTCAGACTGGTAAAATTCAGGTGTGTGTTTTGTGTTTTCAGCAAAGTGAAAGAGACTCAGCAGCAGATCAGAATTAAGTAGATCAACATCTAGCCATTGTGGCAATGAAGGACCCAACAACAGTAGCATTGCAGTTTAACACGTCTTTTATTGACTGACTTTCCAATGTGCGTAATTCTCCAGCTGCCCAACTATTGTAGCACACACAAAACCACAGCTGCTTTAATAATAATAATAATAACAATAATAACAATGATGATGATGATTAATCATTATCTCCCTGGGAATGCTGTTGAAGCATTATTATTATGCTTCAACAGCATTCCCAGGGAGAATGGGACATTGAGTCCAAATGGACCATGTTTAGCACCTCCATTGCTGAAGCCGCTGTACTGAACTGCGGCCGCAAGGTGGTTGATGCCTGTCGTGGTGGTAACCCCTGAACCAAGTGGTGAACACCAGAAGTGACGGGAGCCACCAGGCTAAAGAATGACGCCTAACAGGCTTGGTTAGCCTGTGGGACTTCATAGGCAGACCAAGCAGAAAGTGGGTCGGGCAGTGGCTGAAGCAAAAACATGGGTGTAGGAGAAGTTCGGAGAGGAAAAAGATTTTGGAGTGCCTCGAAGAGAGAAACCTGCACTCTGTATTGTGTGGGTGGAGCCCTGCTGACTTTGACTGAGAAGATTGTCAGGTGGTAGAAGGAATACTTCAACGACCTCCTTAATCCCACTGGCACATCTTCCGTGGCGGAAGCACAGTCTGGGGACGAGGGGGAGGACTCATCTATCTCCGGGGTGAGGTCACTGAGGCAGTTAAACAACTCCATGGTTGCACGGCCCCTGGAGGGGGGTTGAGGTTTGCCCTGAGTTCCTGAAAGTTCTGGATGTTGTAGGGCTGTCTTGGTTGACATGCCTCTACAATGTTGCATTGTGGAGAAACGTTGCATGGAGATCAGGGGCCTCTGGATTGTCAGACCAGGGTGGCAGTTCCCATCTTTAAGAAGGGGGACCGGAGGGTGTGTTCCAACTATACGTGGATCACACTCCTCAGCCTCTCTGGGATATTTTATGGTAGGGTGCTGCTGTTAGTCGAACCTCGGAAACAGGAGGAACAATGTGGTTTTTGTCCTGGTCATGGAAGAAGGCATTCAACCGTGTCCATCGAAGTGTGGCAGAAGTCTTTCACTTGGGTGGTCTCAGAATCTCATCTCTGCTTTTCACAGAGGATGTAGTTCTGTTGGCCTCATCGGGTGATGGCCTCCAGCTCGCACTGGAACAGTTCGCAGCCAAGTTTGAAGCGGTGGGAATGAGAATGAGCACCTCCAAATCGGAGGCCATGATCCTCAGCCATAAAAGGGTGGAGTTCCCAGTCCGAGTCAAGGACAAGTTTCTACACCAAGTGGAGGAGTTTGAGTATCTCAGGGTCTTGTTCATGAGTGATGGGAGACAGGAGCTTGAGATCGACAGATAAATTGGTGTCAATTATCACTCAGTTTTGAATATATGTAGACATTGAGGTTTCTCGGGAGGGTCTGTGCTGACACCGGTTGCTATCTGGCAGAGGGTCGTTGGTACCATCCCACTCCCATGTTCCCACTTCAGAACAGCACACAATCGCCATCTGGGATATGTGTGCATGAGGGTGGGAATGCATGTTTGTGTCTGAGTGTGCCTGTTTGTCTACATCTGTTTGTCAAGTCGGGTCTTAGACTAGACTCTGTCATCATGCTCTTCTGTGTTCTGTGGTCTTTTGGTGTTGCTGCTCGGTGGATTCAGTCTTTTTAAGAAAGTTTTTGCCTGACTGGTTCATTTGGGTATTTCAGCCTAACAATGTCCTCCTTCACTTACACTGGCATGTATTTGAACCTCATGTTGAAAGTTTTAGTGAAATAATACAAATTCAATCCAATTCAACTCCAGATCTTCATTAACTTAATTAATTTCATACAATTATACAGGCAGGGCCTCATATTTCAATATTTTCATATTTACAGTGAAAATGTAAATCAAACACTTTAAATCAACAAGATATTGTGTCTACATTATTTGTTATAAATAAATTAGGGAACAGGTCTCACCTGGTGATGAAACAGCTTGTCAGCTTCCTCACTTACTTTTGAGTCTCTGAAAATGGAGAACTGTGTATAAAGATAGCTGTAGAAAACCTAAATAGTTAATCCACAACTGCTTAAATTAAAGCTGAGAGTCTGCACTGTGGTTGCATACAATATAGACAAAAGCTACAAAAACTGTCTCACATAAATTATGACTCTACCTATATGTGTTATATTAAATGCCTAGAGACACAAGCTGGGAAATCCCAAACCCATTAAAAAGAAACCAGAGCAAATATTCAGGGTTTGACAAAATGCTGATAGCAACTGTTTGCTTTCAGTCTCTTCTCTGGTTTTGTTAAATACCTGCACCCTATCCTTCCATGAGCTATCTAAACTGAATTTTGCACATTTACTGACACAGAACAACAGCCGTAAGCTAATGAATTGATTGTTACTTAAAAAACGTAATTAACTGATTCAAAAGGTTTTGAATTCTGTGTCACAGAAAAGTTCAAGCATGAGATGCTGGCAGTAAAGAATTTTTGTCATTTTAATAAAATAATATTTGTAAAATACTTATAGAAAAGAATAGAATAGAATATAACAGTGGTTTCCTATCTATGTCAGATGATTAATTGAATAAATTCATTGAGATTTTTACTTTAGCTACAGAGTGTTCACTGGTTTCTGGGACAAATAATGAAAATGACATAGTTAGGAGCAGAGATGGGCGCGTTACTGTAATCCGATTACTTTTTTCAAGTAACGAGTAAAGTAAGGGATTACTATTGCAAAAACGGTAATTAGATTACCGTTATTTTCCCGTAGGAACGCTGCGTTACTGCGTTACTAAAACCATGATTTTTTGCGAGAATGTCTCATGACAGTGACGTAAGCAAGTGCGACGTTAGTGTCAACAGCTGTGTGCAGATCAACAATGGATAATATATCGAGTGCGGGAGAGAATGTGAGCGTGCAGCGTTTAAAGCGTGGAAGTACTGACCTTACTTTGAGTTTGATTCCATAAAAAGTGACAAAAACATTAGCGTCCATCGTGCGTGGGAAGAAAACTTCTTTTTACAGCGAAAAAAACCCCTAAACTTCCGAGCAAGCACCGAGTGCGCAACGACGTAATGGGAAACTCACAGAGAAACTCACGGATTCTTCAACTGACCGCAGCACACCTGCACCAGGGTAAACCTCCGCCTATCCTACTCCTGCTTTACAGGTGAAAATAGAGCAACAGGACCGCTGAGTCTTTGACTTTATTTATTTTCTGCTGTGTTTTACTTGCATCTATTTGAAAGAGTGAGTGTAAACACAAAAAAAATATTTTATGTGCTGGAATGTGCAGAAAATAGGTTTAAATGTTAAACAAATTTCTTCCAGTCAGAGAATGTTGCATATAATTAATTTTTTGCTTGATGCATAAAGTTAAAAGATTAAAACTGATAAAACAAGTAAAAAAAAAGAGACTTTTCCATTTTTATTACATTTTGTATGATGGATTATGTAGAAAAAGTAGAATTGTGCTGGAAGATCTATCGCTTTATTACCTATTCAGGTTGTAAATCGTGTTTTTAAAAAGTAACTAAGTAACTAAGTAATTAATTACTTTTGAAAATAAGTAATCAGTAAAGTAACTGGATTACTTTTTTGGGGAAGTAATCAGTAATTAGTTACTGATTACTTTTTTCAAGTAACTTGACCAATACTGGTTAGGAGTCAGTAAGCACCCGCATATGGACCACTGAGGGTCATAGCTATCTAACATGGATTTGTTTGTTTTTTAGACTCTGCGCAGACAGGTAATGAACTGAAAGTTTACCTACTTAGAGTAGTAACTCCTTAATAACAAGCCCCCTGTAGTGGTAGTAATTTAGTGATTCAGTGGCACTGCCGATAAAAGATGAGTGCTGAGATGTGTAAATAAAAACTTGACTAGCTCTTCACATTACTGTTCCACAGTCAGGAACTTTCCAGTGAAATAAAGACTAATTTCACCTTACCTTAAAGTCCTGTGAATACAGAATATAAATCAGTCAGATGAACAAAAATAAAGGATAACAACCCCAGTTAATGTAGACCACCTCATGACAAAAACAGCACATTGTTTTGAATTATTTTAAAATTGTGGCTACAAAACTATTCCAATAAATAGTGTATAGCAGTGCACGCTCCAACCAAAAGTTCCTGGACCTTCAGAGTGTTCAAAGTATCATTGTTGGGGGCATAAACATTGTCTCTCCCGAACTTCTCTCTGACCCAAGCTCCTTTACTGGAAACTACTATAACAGGATTCCACAAAGGTTCTTGGGGGACAATTCCTCTGGTGAAAGCATGTTAGTACTGAGAGATGTAGTCCCTTGACCAGGTCCAGGTTTCTGTGCCGGGATTGGCTCAGGTTTCAGCCTGCATAATAATAGAGAAATTCAACATGACTGAGTTCCTTCTAGTGGTAGTGAATATGTATGCTACCATCAGGATCTGCATCCATCCAGCAGAACCCACCCTCTAAGAACAGGTGTTAGAGGGTGGATACCGTTTGAGTAGGTCACTCCTGTGATTTTGCTTCTGGAAAAGGTCGTGTGGTCATTCATCATGTCATTGTTTTCATTCTTCTCACAGCTTTTTTTTTTCCCCCCATCAGCTTTGACCATGACTGCAGCTCCAGCAACAGCAACTAAAATCCCTCCACATCATCACCCCCCTGCCCCTGTCCATAAACAACACTTTCCCTCTGTCAGTCAACAACCTCCTCTTATAAGGGTCCAAGCCCCGCCTCCCCCACTCACCCAACCCCAGCCACTTCCTGCACCTGTGCTCCCACCTGTAGTTACAGCAGCACCACCACTATTTTTACCCACACCGGTACCTGTTCCTGTACCCACAACTGTATCCACAGCTGTATCCACAACTTTATCCACAGCTTTACCCACAACTTTATCCACAGCTTTACCCACAACTGTACCCACAACTGCACAAACAACTCCACTGGTAGCTCCACCTCCCCCTGCTCCACCCCCTGCACCTGCTCCAGTTCAGCCTCCACCTCCTGAACCCACCCTACCCCCTCCAACTCCAACGCCTTCCCCTTCACCCGCCCCATCACCAGTCCCACCCCCACAGACTCCAGGTGTGTACATCAGGTTTAACATTCAATGCATCTCCAATAGAACAGAACAATTAGCGTGATTCTTCTAGTCAGATGTCTGTCAGACATTCTTTATCATAATCATTACTTATTGATTCACGTGTTCATGTTGTTTACATAACGCCATCACATATTACCCTGCATGTCAGAGCCGGATAGGCGCTCAGCAACACCAGGAGGAACCAGAAAAGGCAAGTCCAGTCACTGGTGGATCTAATGAAGTGTCAGGTGATCCTCACCATGTAAACTATGAGGGTTTGTAAGAAGATAAATATAGCCGCAGCATTTAGGTGATGAAAATTTATAGTTTTGTGTGGAGAAAGAGAGAGGGGGGTTTTAAGCTCAGGCTAGGATCCATCACGAGCATCTTATGATGATTCAAATTTTAAACATTTATCTCCAGTCAGAAACAGATTTTCTTGGTAACTGCCCCCAAAGGCTCAGTAAAACCAACAGATGATGTCTGTGTAGGTTCTCAGTCATCCAATTCATTGTAGTGTAAGGAACTTGAAAAGCAAGCAGCCTCTTTAGTTCTAAAAATCAAATAGAGAGTCCCTGGTGTTTAAACCCTAGTTTTACACTCTGTTTTCTTTGTATTATTGTAGGGGTTTACTTTACAATATAAAGCAGGTAACTGTTGATGTAACTGTTTTGATTTGGCATAATATAAATAAAATGGAAATGAGTTGAATATTGGGGGCTGTTGAGAGAGTCAATGACCCACTATTAGTCCTGTCCTCCTTCTTATTTTGGTTTCTCCCTTGGGTGTTAATGACCCATCTCTTTTTATTAACACCTTGGCTCATGTGATGAGGTAAATTCTTAATAGTGTGTCAGCAACTCTCTTAAGGGACAACAACCCCTGCTAGGGTTAAATAGCTGCGACTCTCCACCATTTGGTTTTTAGAACCAAAGAAGCCTCTTGGATGAGACGTGAAACATCCACATGAAACTTAAAGAAGACAAGAACAGATGATAAATTTCAGATTTGTAACCTGCTCAAAATGTTGCTGTTCAGGTGTGTTTATATCACTGCGGTTTGGTGCTGGTTTGGATGGGTCATCTGACTAGAGTATGAGCATTAGTGTAGCCTGACCAATCACCTCTCTTTGTCCGCACTATGCAGAGGTCACATGGGAGGACCAACAGAAGAAAACAGCCAATGGTATTATGCCCACCTTAAGCCACACCCACATATAGAAATGTAGTGTTTAGCTCGTGTTATCTAGTTAGTTATCTAGTTAGACTGAAGTGGATTGGTTTTGGATTTGGTTTTTAGACTCATTCACCCATTTGCGCAAGCACTTTTGAATCCTCAGTGTAGAAAAGCTCTATATAAGAACCAGACTAATCCATGTATTCATAAAGCACTCCACCAGCCATCTGTCCATCCATTCATCTGTTTTTCCATCCATCTAGTCTTCTGTCAATCTATCCAGCTCTGTGTGCTTTGAGGAGTCTGTGGTTTCTCGTTGATATTCTTCTGTTTCCATCTTTTTATAAGGGGAGATGTTACCAACCGGCAGAGAAGGTACACACACTTTCTGTCAGCTTCATCTTTTTTTCTGACCTGCTGTGAATTGAAACTAACTTCTGTGCTGTCAGAAATCAGCAGCCTGAAGCTGTCCGAAGAGAGAAAAAAGTGAAATCTATTGTCATTTCCTGCTATCACACATTACCAACCTAGACTATGACTAATGCTGCTCTTCTGTCTCTACAGGTGTACTGAAGGACCCTTCAAAGGTAAACAAACATTACACCACTTTTATTTATATATATGTGTCTACATTACGTGTGTGCCACAGCTTGCTTACCTCTTCTCCTCCATCTATAGATGAAGGACAATCTCTCCTTTAAGTCATCAGACAGTGATGTCAGTGATGTCTCAGCTATGTCCAACGCCTCTGACACTCAATCTGTCCACAAGATCGGGTAAGCAGGAATCCATTCTTGGATGACAAGAGAGAATAAAGTGTCCATGATTTCTAGACAGAATCTCAGCTTCTGATTGGTTGGAGCACAATGGTATTTCTGGCTCCTGTTTCTCTGACCTTTCAGTGGAAGTCTTAGCTTTCTGAATCCATGCAGGGATTTCAGTAATATGTAAGGGTTTGCTCTGCAGCTGCTCTCTGTGGGCACACATTTCTCTGAATCTTTTCATCATATTATGAATCACAGATGATGGCATCCAATGTTTTATTGCTCTCTTCTAATGTGGGGTTGTAGGGTTTTTTTTCTCAAAGTAATAATATATTTTTAACGGTAAGGTGTTGACTTTGTCTACTGATCAGAAAGATATCTAAAGCAACATGAAAATTCACTTTTATGAAACAGAGGGCAAAAGGAAAAGAAAATGGCAACAAACAAGTATTTTTTTAAATATGTTTGTGGCTTTTAGGTAAAAGTATTTAGAACATATTCCATCTTTGTGCTGTTTCACTTAGTAAACTGTTTACTGCTAGATGCCAGCTTGTTTCTTCCACTGTGCAGGTCACAAACTGCACAGTGTATGTCCTGCTGCAGGTGGGTCTAGGGCATACCCCCAAGTAGACACAGAAACTGCATTTTGTCTGAAAGAATTGCTGTGTATTTAAGTCAACACACTTAAAATGTTCACCTCTTTATCTGCTCTCAGACAGGAATTGAAATTTTTACTTTCTACCAGACTCCATTTATAAGAACAGAAAGTTTAGCTCATAGGGCAGGTGACCCTCTTTGTCTATTGCTGCATCTGCTGATTATTCAGTTTGTGTTAATGTGTGGATTTGGTGTTAATGGGTCAGTTTGGATTAGAATCCCTGTTAAAAACACAAAAATTCACACAAAATGACCAGAAATGTTTTCTGTGAGGTCAGATTGCTGGTTTTAAGATTGTCAGATTGCTAAATAGAGTCTAGCGGATTGTATTTGTTAATACAGGTAGTTTCTCAAAATTTTGAGTATTGTCACAAATGGAAATGAAATATTAAGTTGACATGTGTTTCAAATATCACCTACATGATTGTTGGAGTCAGAAAGGAATAATACAGAGTAAACTATATTAAAATCAACCGCTCACTCTCATCCTGTGTACAATCACAGTTCACGCTCATAAGCATGTGTTCTGTAAATCCTCCCACAACACATCATTCTGAATGTTTAACTCTGCTGCTGGTTTCAAATCAGTGAAAATACATAATGCTTAGTCCCGTTTTTGTTAGCATGTGTTACCTTCACCATGGGGTGGTTGTAGCTCAGAAGGTGGTGTAGGTCACCTACTTATTGGAAGGTTGTTATATACGGTAAAGCACTTTGAGTGCTCAGGTAAAGTAGAAAAGCACTACATAAGAACCAGTCCATTTACCATTTACCATTCTGCATGATTCTGTCTGCATGCTACTCTTCTCTTCTCATATTGGCTGCCACAGTCTGATTGAATGTCTGGAGGGCCAGTCAGCAGAGCTGGGGGTGGGCTCGCAGGGAACAGAGGAAATAGTGGGGGCATCAGAAGGCGGGGATACACTGCAGAAGAGCAACTCAGTGGAAGAAGGGGAGGAGGAGCCTGAGCCTTCAAAGTAAGAAATTAACAGATGACCTCCTGTTGGAATCAGTTGTCATAGCAACAGCTGCCTCACTACCCATTTCCTTTTCCTCTCTGTGCTATTGTGATGTGTTTGTGCCCTGCCTCTTGTGTTTTGGCCCTTTTCCCTCACTTATTATTGTGGTGGTCCTTCCTCCTGCAGGGTGTCTGCAGCTGCCACTCCTCTCACCAAGTCGTCAAGTGTCGGTGGTGAGATTTGCTCATTGGGGAGAAACGATGATGACGATGATGACAAGAAGCGACGCTCAAGCTTCGGTGCAAGGATGATGGGGATGGTTGGACTTGGAAAGAAGAGTCAGAGTGCCTCCCAGCTCAACCCAGAGGGTCAGTCCTAGTTTAACCATTAAAAAATATAACCTCAATTCTTGCTGTTTTTCTTTTATTTCATGGACTCTGCCATAAACAAAGTTTTCTCTGAATTGAATCTTCAGACATACAGTGTGTTTTAGCCAAACTGGGAATCTGAGTAGCATTGCAAGAGTGTCTCAATAAAAACTCACTATCAGAATGAAAATCCAAAGAGGAACATCAGCCAAAAAATAAACTATGACCAAATGAGTTAGGTACTAACAAGCAATTGAGCAAACATATTACGGAACCAGTTGAACCAGTGAAAACAGAACAGAACAGAACCAATATGAGTCACAGAGCACCCTGTCCAGGGCTCTGATTAGTCTCTGGCTGTTTATGCTCTTGTAACAACTTATTCTGCTTCTTTTCTCTTTCTTCTTCCATCCTTACAGAGGAAGAGAAGAAGAAGAAGGTGGTGAGACTTCCCGTTCAGAGAAGTGTTGAAACCGGTTTGGCCATCGAGTTTAAAGCTCGTTTCACCAGACAGCCGAGTCGAGACCCAGATGCCGAGGACCCAAAACCTGGAGCGTACGAATCACTCCTCTTTCTACTCTTTTTATCTTGTATTCTCTGTTTAGTTAAACTTTATTCATACAGCACTCATTTAAAGCAAGGGTTTTCCTAAGGTACTTTATGATAGCAATAATCTGTGATAGCAGAGGGAAAAACTCAACAATGACACAACCCCCTGTGAACAATCACTTGGTAACAGCAGGGAAGAAAAACCACATTTTAACAGGAAGAAACCTCTAGCAGAACCAGGTTCGGGGAGAGGCAGCCATCTGCTATGACCTTTTGGAGTGAAGGGAGGACAAAAGACAAACTAAGGGAGAGGGAAGACTAAATATGATGTGCTGCACCTGTGCTATATAAACACAGAGGAGCTAGAACAAAGTGGAATGAAGGCTTCTTGTTTTCACTCAGTATTGTTTAGATGAAAGAAGGCAGTTCTACATAGTTACAGTTCTACTTCTACTTTTTTCTCTCTGAACTTTGAATTTAGTTTTTCCTGAGTGCAATTTTTAACCTCCTTTTTTAATTGCTCATTTAGTCACTCCCTCCTTTTTTAGTCTTCCCTTTCACCCCTTTCCCTATTTTTTCTACCCCTCAATCTGTCAATCCCCTTTAATGTGTATTTATTCTCACATTGAACTTAAACACTTCCCATTTCCCTGGGGTTGCCATCTAACATGTCGGATATTTTCTTTTTCTTTTTTTCTTTCTGTCTGGTCAGGCTTATATTTCCAGGAGTAAAACTTGCATCAGACAAACAGTTCACTGGTTTCCTTGAAGGATTAGGCCCCGCCCAGCTGGCTGGACGGCAGACATTGGCCACGCCCCCCATGGGTTAGCATGAATAAAAATGTCATTGTTTTTATGTATTTCAACCTACCAACATACAAACTCATTAATTCAGATTTATGTAATCTGGACAAATGTGTGTGTTAATAAATCATATTAAAATACAATACCACTTTCTGCCCATGAAAGCGTGCGGTTGTGTTTCAGTAAAATCTCTCCTCTGATTGGCTTTCTTTTGGTTAGGTGACATCCAGATCGGGATGGTGTACAGGAAGGAGCGTCTGGACGTGGAGGTTATCCGAGCCCGGGGGCTTGTGGGTAAACAAGGCAACAAGAACACTCCAGGTGACAAAGCTATACACAATGCACACTTGACTACAAATACACTCTACCTAGTACACTCTAGTGTAAGAACGTGAACTTAATCAGTTCCTCCATGCTGCTCTCAGCTCTCTCCTGCCTCGTGTATTGTATCTCATTCAGTCTCTCATCCAGATGAGAGCTGCTTTGTTACAACCTGAATTCTGTCTTCCAGCTGAGCTGTACAAAGAGCAAAAGATCCCAAACATGATTTACTCTCAGAACCTGACCTTTCACGTACTCAAGCTCCGCATTAACTGTGTTACTTGTGGAAATGCTCACAATGCCATTGTTTACAAGGTGTTTATTAAAGTCAGTGTTAAATGTAAAGTCAGAACCTATATTAATCTGAGATACTTGGAGCATTGTGACAGATCTGAGACAAGAAACTCCATGAACCTGAGCTGTGGTGATGCAGAGATGTGTGACTACACTTTTATTATGGACTCATTTCTGATTAATAAATCTGAAATAGTTTAGAAATATATATAAATTTTTTGGAGGTGTCTTGTATTGTGGATCATGCAGTGCTGGAGTTCTTCATTCTTCCTCAAAGATGAACTGCTTTCTGCTCCTCATTAATAATATAAGGGCTTAGCTGAAAGCTAGCACAACTACTTGTGTTGTGCTAACAAGTATTAGGGCTTTTCAGTTTTACGCATCACCAGAAAATTAAAACCTCTTCGATGCTTTAATTTTCTCAGTAGCGCTCATTACTTTCATGTAATTTTTGGTCGCAAGTTTCTGTGTCAAGGTAATTCTTTTAATGTTTCTTCCAACTTTTCCAATCATTCCACATTTTTTCCAATGTGGAATTATTGAACAGCATACATCTTTAATATATTTTGGATTTTTAATAATCCACACAGACAGAAAATTGCAACTTAGGAAGTTGCAACTCAACCAAATGCTTTTGTTAGCCATCATTACGCTTCTAGCATAATTCTGGATGCATATTTGGCTGCTCATCTTTGCAGAATTCCCTTAAATTAGCTGGTTTCCTGGCACAGGCCCGACCTTTAAGCGAAGTCCACAAATTTTCACACTTGAATACTACTGCACACAACCATCGCAGTACAAAGGTTTAGTAGTCATGGGTTATGATCTGTGAAACAGCTCGTGTGTGTGTGTGTGTGTGTGTGTGTGTGTGTGTGTGTGTGTGTGTGTGTGTGTGTGTGTGTGTGTGTGTGTGTGTGTGTGTGTGTGTGTGTGTGTTTTGCAGCTCCTTATGTGAAGGTGTATCTAATGGATAATGGAAAGTGTCTGTTGAAGAGAAGAACTCGTCTGGCAAGGAAAACCCTTGACCCTCTTTATCAGCAACAGCTGCAGTTTGAAGAAAACCCTGAGGGCAAAGTTCTACAGGTAATTATATATGTACTGATACTGCAGGATGCCAGACAGCTGGACAGCACAGGATTACAGGACCCTGGGATCAGGGCCTGCAGCCCTTCTTTTGTTGCTCCAGCCTCTACACAAAGAGGCTGAAGCAACTCCACTCCTCATCTGGCTAGCAGTCATAGCAATGTGTGTATGAAGAGGAATCTAGGATAGAATGTGGGTGGGGCGTTCTGAACGTCCAAGTTGAGTGGAGGAGGGGGTGTTAAGATTAATACTATTTGAGCAGGGACAACAGAGGGTTCACTATTGAACCTGTTGAAAAACAGATTCAGTTCACTGGCTCTGTCCAGACTGCCCCCGCAGCTGCTGATCACTTTGAGGCCGGTAATCAACTTCATCCCCCCCCCACATGCCTTTGATGTTATTCAGTTGGCGTTTGGTCTCCCTGTATGTATATTTACACCTTCTCCGCCCTGCTTTCAGTTCATACTATGTGCTTTTCGAGTAATCCTTGTTCCCAGAATTGAAGACCATCTACTTTGGCTGGCGATCACTGGCGATCCTGCACTCTGGATACTCCTTCTGATGTCTTACCTGCACTCAAAGCTCCATTCATATTACTAATGAGACCACCTGCTTTGGCACAACAGTGCAGCAATCATAAGTCAGAGCAAAAGCTGCTCCCCAAAGAGAGAGAGATGTGGTGTTTAGAGAAAATGCATCTCAGCTGTTCCAATACTCCCGACACTTGATCACTAAAGGTTTTCGCTTAGGGAGCAGTTGTCCTTCTCTCCTGGATCACCACATTTACTCAAGGCCTTCTTGATATGATCTTCTTCTGGCCACCGCATCTGTGGGGATGGTGTTTAGTCTGTGCTCTAGTGTCCTGATCACACTCAGTTTGTGCTCAAGTGGATGATGAGTACTGATCTGTATGTAATGGATTACAGTACACAATAACTTTTAAATTTCCCTTATTACTGATGGAAATCTCACAGTCTAAGCTGGCTAGCCTGTCATTTTCATATCCTCCATGGTGAACTTGATGTGTTTGTCCACTGAGGTTAACATAATCAGTGAATTATGGTACATCCTGAGATTTGATTTTAACCCAGGTGTATTCCACATACCTGAACTAATTACTTTGTCGTGTTCCAGGGTAGGATAACAGAGCCCTCTTTTATATTTCCCCCATATAAAAGTTGGCCACAATAGATGAAATTGGGTAACTCATGGCATACCCATGTTTCTGCCTGTAGTAGTGAACATTGTATGTGACAATAACAACTGCTTCAGTCACCATCTTCCTGTAACCACTACCTGGGTCTCGTTTCAGAGTTTCATAAGTATTTTTATCACAGTGAGTAGTGACAAAATTTTCACATGATAGTCTTTCAAGTTTAGCTAAACCGTGCACTAACCCTTATCTGCTGGTAGGATGATAATTTTGTCATTACTTCCCCTCCTCCGTGCTGATGTTGGATGCTGGGGGCTTTGCATTGCTGAGACAGGCCGAAACTTTCGTCCACATCTGTAATATTGTTGCTTCGAATTGCTAATTCTGTGGCTGTGATCAGTTCCACTAGGGGGATTTGTCTTGGCATCACAGCAAAGTTCAGCCTTTTTGCAAGGATGTTTTTCTCCGCTTGTGTGAGTTGTCAAATTGACAAGATTTTGATAACATTTTTTGTCAGAAATTGACAAATCTTTCACTGATTTGTCCACACCCTCAGTGTGGCATCCTTCTCTCTTCTGGCCGCTGAGGACATTCTGTGCTAGACGAGCCTTCTCAGTGAATTCAAACACCTCTCGAAGGGTATTCTCTAGAACCATAGTAAGTCTTTGTCGGCTCTACTCCCCTTTTGATTTTAGCATGTTGATGGTAAAATCAGAATCAGAATACTTTATTGAATCCTAGGGGAAATTATTAAAAAAATGTTTGTCTTACCCATTCATTGAGCAGCTGGCCTTCTGGTGTATTTTTGTTGCTTTTGTAGCTCAGAGGCTCTTAACTGAAGATCTAATTTGCAGACTTTTAGAAGTAATCCTGTTTTGTCTGCATCTGAGGCCGAATCCTTGGTGGTTTCTGTATTCAGCCATCTTACATGCTGTTTGCTTGTGCTCGGGTACTAGCTTTAGGCAATCCTTGCCAAAGTGCGTTAGAATGTCTCAGTGGACAAACACATCAAGTTCACCAGGATATGGTCGCCTCAGAGCCACATGAAAAATAACAAGTTAGCCTTCTTAGACTTTGAGATCAGTAACGGGGGATATTTAGGTTGATGTGTACCATAATCACAGAGCAAACACCGTCCCCACAGATACAGTGGCCAGGGAAGCAGAAGAAAATCATTTCAAAAAGGCCCCAAGTAAATGTGATTATCCCAGCTGGACATTTGTCAAAGCTGGGAAGGCTTTAAAGAATGCTCCAGGCAAATCAGAAGAGAAGGACAACTTCTGCCTAAGTGAAAACCTTTAGTGATCCCGTACTGCAGTCAGCTGAGACTGAAGAAGTCACAAGTCTAGATAAACAAAATCAGCCTTTTGGGAGGTTTAAAAAGAACATGGGGACCGAGATCATGAGGACTTTGAGAACAGAGGAAACCTACTGGTATCCATGGTTCATAAAAACTGACTCGGTGTCTCGAGTCAGGTTCTTCATTGTTGTAGATATTAATCGTATCTTTCTGAGGTTCATTAGATAATGAACCTCAGAAAGATACAATTAATATCTACAACAATGAAGAAAACAGCAAAGAAAAAAAAATTATGGAAAATGCTGCAACACTCACAGTGTCATCTACAAAGAAAAAAAACACACCTTCATGTGTGTGATGTCACTAAGGATCTCCTCCTCTCCTCTCTCTGCAGATCATCGTCTGGGGTGACTACGGTCGGATGGACCATAAATCATTCATGGGCGCTGCCCAGATTCTATTGGATGATCTGGACCTGTCCAATATGGTAATTGGCTGGTTCAAACTGTTTCCTGCCACCTCATTAGTGGATCCTGCGTTGGCGCCGTTGACCAATAAGGAGACAGAAGGTAGCAAGTCTTAGCATCAGGAGGCATGGCTGATTGGTCATAGACACGTTACAGGATGGGCCCTAAAACAAAGTCTCAGAATCCTCTGCTGCTGCATGCTGCATGATGACATCACAGAGATGACAATTCATGATGATGTCACTAGGACGATGAGGAAGGTGCTATTCCTGATCCGCCCACTGCGGGGGGAGACACTCAACAAAGGATGCTGGGTAAAGAAAGGAGTGGCCATGTGACCTCCAGCTGCCAGCTAATCACAGCAGCTCCTTGGAAGTCATACGACTGTTAAAGACACGTCAGGAACCCACAAGATTGAGTTATGTGATAGTATTCATGGAGACACAGGAACATAGAGGGGGCTTCTTTATGTTTATGCATGGAATGACAAAAACATTAGAACATAAACTCCATCGAAGAAAAACACCACACCAACCAGTAAAATCATGAAAACGTGAAAACAAAAGAACATGAGAACCACAAACATGACAACATGTGAGAGCATGAAAATATGTAAGACCATGCCAGACTGTGAGAACATGAGAATGTTGTCTAAAACTTCAAAATAAAGATTCTTAAACAATCTCTGTGTTTCTGTTTAGGACATTATGATCAAGTTAGGTACATAACTCTGGTTTTACAAGGTTCTGATGATATTACTGAGAACACTGGTTCTGTGATTTTTACAAAGGTGACTGTGAGCTTCTACACATTAAAATGTTTTGGGGTCTTTAAAAGTTCGCCTGTAGCTGACTCACTATTTCTGAAGCAAGAGTTCATTAGGTTCTACAAGTTCTATTGCACCGCTGACCCTGGTGTATCTAAAAGATCCTACTACTCTATGGGTAAATGCTACATAAACTGGTTCTTAAATGCTTTTCTACTGTACTTGAGCAATCAAAGCGCTTTCTGCAACATGCCCCATTCACACAAGCACTTTTTTCTTTGCTTGATTGCATTCTATCTAACATTCACACGCCAATGCATCAGAGAGCAACTTGGGGTTAGTATCTTGCCCAATGATATTTGGCATGCAGACTAGAGCAGCCAATGATTGACTCACCTTCCAATTAGCAGGTGAGCTATAACGTCTGTTATCTTTTCTGTATTCTCTCTGTTTACCTGTATGCAAAGTCATGGAGATGCAAAGTCATGATTTTTGGCTCCCTGGTGTTTGACTCGGATTAAAAGACTGGGTCAGCGTTCTCCATTTGGTGAACTGTTGTTGTGTTTTAGCTGTGTATAAATAAAACTGAACTGAATAGATAGCTGGAGTAGGAGTTCAGGTTTGGATCCAGCTGCATCCGGGTGAAGGATTTAAAGCATCGTGGGATGAGAGCCTTTACTGGTTTGCAAAACCGATTCTCACTGTGTTGCTATACACCTCTTGTGGTCTGATTTCACTAGCCACTTCTGGATCCAAACATGATATGCCATGTTCTGACTGAGGGATTTACATAAAAAAACTAAAACGGGCAACTCGACTAAAATTTCTGGCAAAAAAAATGAAGACCGAAACTAAACAATGTTTGTAGGATTACTTAATTTCGGGTACCTGGAATATAATGCTGTGCTACCTGGTGACTAGCTACAAAGTAATGGTACTTATTCAAATCTTAGAAAGCGTCGTAGTCGTTCCTTTCTGAAGTGTTCAAATATTTGGTGTCTGGCAAATCTTGAGCCCATGGGCTGTAGTAGCATCATAAGGTTTTAGAAGTTACACAGTGGGGCCAAACCTGACAGGGGGCAGATCACATCTACTGAAAAAGTGATCCAGTTCATTTGCCCACTTTTGTGTCCCTTACAGGCTCTGTTGCTTATGGCCCAGGATGGTTCTGAAATCACTCCACACTTTGTTAACATTGTTAATGAAGTTGCAGCTGAAGATTTTCTGCTTGGTGTTGCAATGTCCTATTAGGACAAGTTTGTGTTTCAGAGGTTCTTGTCTGTGTGTTTGGGCCTCCAGTGAACTTCAGTGTTGAAGCTTCCATCCTCCTTAATGCACACAGCACAGTCCAGAAGCGGCAAACTGTTATCCTTTGCAGAGGTGGGAAGTAACAAAGGACAAATACTTCATTACTGTAGCAACATAAGTACAATTTTCAGTTATCTCTACTTCAGTAGTTTTTACTGACTACTTTTTACTTATCAAACTAAGGAGGACTGCTGCAGGTTAGTGCAAGATAAACTAGTTAGTTTACTGTACTGTGATAGGTTTAAAGTAAAGAACAGTGACAATGAAACCACAGCCACCGTGCACCGAGTTAGGTGACAACAAATGTAGCGGAGATTCAAAAAGAATAGAAATAAAAATTATTGTGAGTTGTGATTCCTTTACCCACACCGAGCTGTTACAACCAATTTCAGGGTTCCCCCGTCTTTACACACTTTCCTATTTAGAGGCAAAGTCATCCTCTACAGTGTTGGCAACAGAAAATAGATATATAGTTTTTATTATCATTCTTTTTCCTCAGACTCAGGCTGAGCATAATCGGAATGAAAAAAGTTCGACTAAAGTTTCTTTTCCATCTACTGATAATATTTTATCACTATGTTAGCACAAGATTCAGTTAGCTTTGCACAGAAATAGAAACATACTCCTTTTTACTTTCTTACTCTGAGTACATTTCAAAGCCTGTACGTTTTTACTTTTACTTACTAAAGTAAAGAAGTTAAATCAGTACTTCAACTTTTACTGGTGTATTTTTAACAGAAGTATTTGTACTTCTACTTAAGCACAGAATCTCTGTACTGTTGGTGAAGTCAGTAGAGGTGTGATGGGGCATGTTCACCACAAGCTTAGGTCTCAGACAAATCATATATGATCCAGCATTTTTCAAAGAATGCAAACTTTAGCTGCCATAAAGGGGTAGATTTCCGATCACTGATCTCTCTGTGGATTTGCTGCACGGAGGATGTAACGTCTATGATAAGCACTGAGGTTTGTGTCCTTGTCAGGATTTCCAGGTTAGGAAAAGTGGAACAGAAGATATTCAAATACATCTCTCCACAGCTGCTGATAAATTGTACAAAAACAAGAAACAGTTTGTTAAAAACATTTCCAGGTGAATTTCACAACTGGTTTATCAGTGATATCAGTGAAAAATGACTGATAAGCGGAACTGGAATATATAGTTTATAATTTCAACAATGTACTATATAAAATGAGATGTGGTGTGTTTCTTATGTGATCTTTAACAGGGTGTTACAACACTTAAAAACGGTACTCATACTTTACCAGACTTTTAAAAGCTAGGTGTGCAGTTCCTAATTTAAATGCATTCATTCTTTAGATTCAGAAATCTAAGCGATCAGATTTTAAAGATAAATAATAATAAACAAAATGAAATCAATAGTGTCCTCTTCAATCTTGGCAGAGGGCAGTAATATAAATAATGAGAGAACTGACAGCTATTATTTTAATCACCCTGTTCTTTTAACTAGAAGTATCAGAAAAGTAATGTGGTGACATCTGGACTGATGTTTGCAGACAGTATTTTAATCACAAGTTTAAAGGCTGCAGTCGTTGCACACACTGTGTATAAAATATAAATATTTTGATGCGCACCACACTTCTAGTACTCTGTAGTATTGTAGTGAGGCACTTGGAAAGTGGTTGTAGGTGATTCATTTGATACTGCTAACAGTGGTTATGAGTGGGACTGATTCCCTATAACTAATGACTGGTTGGGCCACCCATAGCAGCAACAACTGCAATCAAGTGTCTGCTGTTTATATCTGCAATCTCATTCTTTTTGTCACTACCCAGAGCTTGTGACCATAGGTAAGGGTAGTAATATAGATTGACGAGTAAATCAAAATTCGCTTCTCTTCACTACAAAAGATCAATACAGCAGCCACGTCACTGCGGACACTGCCCCCAATCCACTGGTAGCTCTCACACTTCATTCTCCACTCTTTTGTGACCATGACCCCAAGATACTTCAACTCTGCCACCTGGGAAATTAACTCGTACCTGACCTGGACTCCTGGGCACTCCTAGACTTGGACAAGGAGGTGCCGATTCTCATTCCCACTACTTCACATTCGGATGCGAACTGCTCCAGCTCAAGCTGCAGGTCACCTGCTTGATGAAACCAACAGAACCACATCATCTGCAAAAAGCATAGATAAAATCCCAAGGCAAATGAAGCGGAGACCACTGTCCACCATCTGGCAAAACCAGATATTCTGTTCATTAAAAACTATGAACAGTATTGGTGACAAAGGGCTGAGTCCACTGAATCCACATGGACTGTGTCCCCAGGCTCCCTTGGAATGCAATCAAAGCTTTTTGGAGGTAGGAGTCTTAGGGGCCTCTGCTAGGTGTTGTCAGTGCACTCTCACTATGCATTTGGATACACCACATCAGTTCAGCATGTTCCCCTACCTGATCAAAGCCAACACCAAGTACCGATCAGTTGACAGCTCAGCACCTGTGTTCAATCAATCGAATTCATTTTACTTTGATCTGTGGCAAAATGCAGTGATTTAAGCTTTAATGATTAAATTGATTCAGTTTCACAGCTCTAACGTCACCTTACAAATAAACAGCGTGCACTGAGCATGCAGTCATAAAATAGTGAAATAATAAAATTTTTCTAAATAAATAAAATTGATATTTGACACATTTGACAGGAGCTAAGTTCACTTGCTTGCTCTGAATTACCTACTTTTTTTTCACCTTTACCTTTATGTTCGTTCATGTGGAAAGCTGAGCAAAATAAAAAGAATACAAGAGACACTGGAGGTGAACCTTTAATGTTTAGTGCAGTTTATCAGTTTTTAACTACAAAGAAAAACACGAAATGGCCAAATTCATGCAGGCCAGAAAACAGCAAAACCACAACAACAAGAATAATAACTACAACAATAATAACCACATCATGAATAATAATAATAATAATAATAAATATACATAGTCACACACACACACACAAGGTCAGCTGAGTACCAAAAACTGTAACAAACATCAGAAATGGCTTCAGTCTAGAAGTAGTGACGATGGGCGGGGCTACAAAACCTTTATAATTCAGGTAAGTCTGACTCGAGTTCTGATCCTCCGCTGTACCAAACCCTTCAGGTCCCATGTGAGCTGTAAACACTGACCTTTGACTTTCCTTTTCTTTGAACTGGACATGAGGGTCACATAATTTAGGTCTGGTTCTAAAATCAAACTCAACTGTTGAACATGTCACATTGTGCTTTACCGTCAATAGCCAATGAACATTCACCTACTCAAAACACCAAATATTTGACCTAATCATCCAGCGTCTCTTGAATAGGATGAAGTGTTAGGGTCACATTAATAAAAAAAAAAAGTGTCCATTTTTAGATTAAAGTTGAAATGTAAGCTCAAACTTGAAATAGTATTTAAAATTTTAAATAGTCAAAATGTGGAGATTACAGTTATTTCAAGCCAAAAAACTGCCACGGCTCCCATATCCTCTATAAAATGGCTTGTGTAGATAAGTTAGTGAAACAAACAGATGATCCGTCTTATTGTGTTTTGTGATACAACCATTGGTATCTTTGCATCTGTCCATTGCCAGCCATTTCATTTTGCACAAATCCGACCCACTCTT